CCGATACTGAACTCGGTGAGCTCGAAAGCCCACTTTGCTAGTCTACCGGATTTTTCAACCTTGCCGAGGACTTTCTCTAACGGCTGATCAGTTAGAACCGCTATTTGATGAGAATCAAAATAGGGTCGCAACTTCCGAGCAGCCACCACCACTGCATAAGCCACTTTTTCTAACAATGGGTAGCGCGTCTCGGCATCCGTCAGGGTGTGGCTGACGAAATAGATCGGCTGTTGAACTTTTTCTTCTTCCCTTAGCAGCACCGCGCTTACCGTGGCTGGACTGACCGCCACGTATAAGTATAGGATGTCTCCTACGACTGGCCTTGCCAGTGTTGGGAGTTGAGCCAGGTGTTCACGGAGCTGCTGAAAGGCTGACTTTTGTTCGTCTCCCCATTCAATGCCTTTTGAATTTTGGAGCTTCAGCGCCTTGAAGAAAGGGAGCCCTTTGTCTGAGGCTCGTGAGATGAACCTGGACAAGGCAGCCATTCTCCCGGCTAGACGCTGAATATCCCTTTTTGTCTTCGGCTCGGGGAGGTCTAAAGCAGCTTGTACTTTGGCGGGGTTTGCATCAATCCCCCTCTTGCTGACCATGAAGCCGAGGAACTTGCCTGACTTCACGCCGAAGACACATTTCTTCGGATTCAGCTTCATTTTGTATTTTCTGAGGGTGGCGAAGGTTTCGGCTAGGTCCGTGACATGATCTTTTTCTTTTATGCTTTTGACGATTGAGTCGTCAACATAAACCTCCATGTTTCGGCCTTTTTGCTCGGCGAAAACCTGATCAACCAACCTCTGATATGTTGCCCCCGCATTTTTCAATCCGAAGGGCATCATTCTGTAATTGTACAACCCGGAACTTGTTATGAACGCTGTTTTAGCTCGGTCCTCGGGGTGCATGAAGATCTGATGGTATCCCGAGAATGCGTCCATGAAACTGAGCAGAGCATGCCCGCTTGTCGAGTCGACCAGTTGGTCGATCCTCGGCAGCGGATAGGAGTCCTTGGGACATGCCCTATTCAGGTCCGTGAAGTCAACGCACATCCTCCAGTTACCATTTGCCTTCTGAACCATTACAACATTGGCCAGCCACTCCGGATACTGACAGGGTTCAATGAACCCAGCATCTAGGAGCTTATCGACCTCAGCTGCGATGTTCTGGTTCTTTTCGGCGGAGTAGTTCCGCTTTTTCTGCTTAACGGGTCGACTGGAGGGGTCGACATTAAGCCTATGGGAGACGAAGTCCGGATCAATCCCGGGCATTTCTGCGGCTGAGAAGGCGAACACGTCTCCACTGGCCCGTAGGAGTTGGACGAGTGCCGCACGGGTGTTTGGCTCCAGTGACGACCCGATGCTAACACATCTGTTCGGATCTCCTACGGTCAGTTCTATTGACTCGGTCAGGTCATCCGTCTCCATGCTCTTAGAGTTGGATTCCTCGAATTCCGGCCTGCTATCAATATTAGCAGACTTTCCTGACCGCGGCTGGCCATCAGAGTCGTTCGGCTCTGAGGCGGAGTCAGCCTTTTGGCCCCCATCAGATTTCTCGTTGTCTGGGGCTTCATTAGCCGAAACGTCTGAGCCTCTCGGCTTTTTGGCGTTTCGGTCCCGGTGCTTTTCCTCCCCATCGCCACGGTCGCCTCGGCGAGACGTGGATGGCTTGAGGTGATTGCATCGGCGGGCTTCTTTTTGACTGCCCTTTATTTTCTCGGAGCGTCCCTCGTCTGAAACGTATATCATGATTTGATGATACGTGGAGACGACTCCTTGAATGCCGTGAATGAGGGGTCTCCCCATGATCATGTTGTATGCAGATGGAGCATCTACGACCAAAAATTCGGCCATGATATTCCTAGCTGCTCGGCCTTCGCCGATGGTGACAGGAAGTGTAATCTTCCCGTCAGGATACGAGGAAGAGCCGTTGAATCCAGACACCGGGTAGGGTGCGGGGGCCAGGTGCTCGGCTCCCATCCTCAGCTGGTCGAACGCTCCTCGGAAGAGGATGTTCGCCCCGCTACCGCCGTCGACGAGGGTCCGCCAGACGTTGCGGTTGGCGATGCCCAGAATGATTACTAGTGGGTCATCGTGGGGGTATACCACCCCCTCACAGTCTTCGGCTGTGAACAGGATGTTCGGCGCCGGTGACTGGGACTGCCGAAGCTCAGCCTGATGAATCTGATGGGTTAGACCCCTCAGTTGGCGTTTGGCTGTGCCTCGCGAGATTCCCCCGGAAATAACCAGGATGTCGAGGGACTCCTTGCCCTGAGGTCCCTTATCCTTCTTCCGAGCGAAGTTGAGGTCCTGCCGAGAATCTTTTTCAGCTTTTTTCTCCTCGCGCCTGTCCGCGAGGTATTGGCTCAGGTACCCCTTGCGGACCAGATCCTCAATCTGGTCCTTCAGCTGGACGCAGTCCTCGGTGCGATGTCCGGGTGAGTCATGGAACTCGCACCACTGGTCCTTTCCCCTCGTCTGATGCCAGGGAGGCAACGGACGAGGTTTTTTGAATCTCCCCTCGTCCTTCGTCGTGCTGAAAATCTTAGCACGGGGAAGGGAGAGTGGAGTGTATGAATCGTACCTTCCCGTGTAGGGAAAGTGTCTTTCCTTCTTCGGCTCGGCAGCAGAGGACGGTTCTGAGGCCTTAGCCTTCCCTTTCCTCTGCGCCGAGACTTCGGGCTGCTGCCCTTTCGGCTTCTCAATTCTCGGACGAGACTGAGACCTGGATCTGTTCCACTCCTCGGCTCGGATGAACCTATCCGATGCTTCCAAGGCTTCCTCCAGGGTCTGCGGGGGATGCATGACCATGAAGTCCAGGAACTTTCCAGCTTGGAGGCCGTTCCGTAGCGCGAACACGGCCAGGCCTTGATCCAGGCTTGTGATTCCGGATGACTCGTTGCTGAAGCGAGTCAGGTAGTCGCGGAGGCTCTCGTCCTCCGCCTGCTGCAGACTCATTAGCTCTGCAGTGGTCTTCTCTCGGCGGTTGGCCGTAGAGAATTTGCTCTTGAACTTGTTGGAGAGGTCGTTCCAACCGGTTATGGAGCCTTCCTTGAGCCCTTTGGTGATCCAGGATTGGGCAACACCTTTGAGGGTCGTAGGAAAGTATTTACACCAGGTAGCCTCAGACCTCGGGTTCAGATACATGTGCCCCTCGTAAGAGGCAATGTGATCCTTAGGATCTGAGGTACCATCGTAAGTAATATGTGCCGGGATTTTGACCGTTGGCACATGCTCTTCCAGAATCCACTTCTGGAAGGGCGAGTTCGATGGAACCATGACCGCATTCCCCTTGTACCCGGCCTCAGGGACCTCGCTCCCTCCTCTCTCAGAGGTGGAAGTGGTTTTCGTCCCCGGCTGAGACAAGGTTGGGTGGGGTCCGGTATCCTCTGGGAAGGTGAGGCGGCTATGCACACTCACCTCCCTCGAACCCAAGCGTTCATGAACGCTTTGGCGGGCGAATTCCGGGTCCTTGGAGGGCCCCATGGAATTCTGAGCTTCGGAGTGGTCAGAGGGTTGAGGGTTCCTCCTCCTCTCCTTACTGGAGTTTCGGGTGTCCCCTCGCCACCTCTGGCCGAGCTGTCTATGTGGTGGAACTTGTCCACCATCATCCTGACCGATCCTCCTTTTCAGGTTTCTCGGCTGGTGATCATCAGGCATCTGGATTGGAGCCCCTTGAGCTTTAAGGAACTCCATGCAGATGGCCACTGCTCTGGCCACTTCCTCGGTGGAGGGTCCGGAGGGAGGAGTCTCCCGCGGATGTGAACTGGATTGCACGCTATGGCGCGGCGGGGAGTTCCTCGCACCTGAGCCACTCGGTCTCGGGGATGGCCCCGGCTGCCGAGTGTGGTGCAAGGTGTTCTCCTCCTGGAGGCTAGGACCTCTTGAGGCTTCCCTTTCCGGAGAAATGGGGGCCTCCGATTCGGAAGAGGCTTGCTCCGGGGAGGGATAAACCGGCTGGCGTTCCCTCACCGTAATCCGGCCTCCTCCCTTCTTAGCCTTCTTGGAACTCTTTCCACTCTTAGTCATGGCGACTGCCGGAGTGTTTGATGACTGACGCGAAATTTAGTAGCGTTCCCCACAGACGGCGCCAAATTGTTTCGGATGAAAACAATCGAATCTCGGAAGATCCTTTTATCTTGAGGGAACTTGGTCTCGGTCCGAACGACGCAGGAGCCGAGGGTTTCCTGCACAACAAATACACGTAAACTAGCCTCGGGGGGGACGCCGAGGAAGGCCCCTCCGATGCTTAAGTCAGTATATTAGAGAGAGAAAGCTGTGCAAGAGTTTAGTTGCTTGAGGCTTTATTGTCTTACCAAGAATTGACCAAATTGTTGGCTTTTATACCTTGGCTAATGAAGGAGGCAGATTGGGCCCGGAAGTCAGTTGGGCTGGGCCAAGCTGATTGGGCCGTTGACTGACCTTGACATGGCTTTGAGGATGTTTGATTTTTGACTTTAGCACATTTGGAGAGTTGAACCTTAACCTTGGGCTTTTAATTGGATCATTCAGTGACCAGGCCCAATTGGACTAAATTGGACCCAAACAATATGTATCTTCAATTCTATACTTTTGGTTAATTTTAAGAGATCCAAGAGTCTTCATTGGCCTCATATGATGAAAATCCCAAAACTCAAAATTTTTGCAACAAAATCTATAATGAGATGTGCTTCATTCTCCACCTCCTTGATTTTGCTCAATTTTAACCCCAGATCATAATCAAGCACTATTTGCATTAATTATTTGGTTTGAATTTTGAAAAATAATTTCAATTTGAAGAAAACCCCAATTTGCTTTAATAGGACGAAAATAAGTCACTTTAATCTAAAAATAATATGAAGAGTCAACGGGGGCTAACTTGCTCGACTAGGCATGCATGAACCTAAATTTTGAGATGCATTACTGGAATTTTCAGCCAACTACTTGTCATTGGAGAGTGTGTGAACAATGTAAAAGTAATAATAAGCACGATAAAAAACATGTGAAGTAAAAGGATAGTAAATTAATAATGACCTGTCGTGCATCAGTTTGTGAAGAAAGGGAGTATTTACCAATACCACCACCTAATGAGAGGAGTACTTTAATTCCTTGCCTTCGGCATTCCTTAATATCATCTCCTATGCTTTTGCAACTACCGGGAATGCTTGGGTTGCAGTGGCCAGCTAAATTTAGCTCAGGAGTTTGACCATTGCCAAATACATTTAGGAAAGCAATGTTAATAAGCTCGTAGTTTCCGGTGGCGCAGGCAGCGGCTAAGGTGCCTTCATCACCATTCTGTCCCCAATAAATAGCTATCCCAGCACCATGGCAGAGATTCAAGAATTGAGATGCTAAAATGAACATTGTTAGTTTCAACACATCCATATTTAATTTTTTAGCAGATGTCTTTCTTTGTTTTTTTTTTTTTTTTTTTTTTTAGTTTGGTGTATTTTGTACCAGTACGACATTCTAAGCTAGTTACAGGCACACATTATAGAGGTCATGCATGCACGTCAGTCTAATTTTCATTTTATCATTGAAAATGGGCAACTTGAAGCCCTCTTTGGCTCTACGTTGTTACTAGCTTTCATATAATATGACATGCTAATTGTTGGGTTTCTTTTTTTTTTTTTTTCTTTTTTTTTTAATAATGTTTACTAACCGAAAGGGAAAGGGCGAAAGGGACTAATCTTGAATCACAATATATAGTACGATAACTCGATAATATCAAGACGTTTATTTGACTCATAATAATAAGCATATTACATTTACAAGTAACTAAGCTAAGCCATGTCCCATGCCACTATATGCCTTAAGCTTAGATACATGCCAATAGGCAAAACAACAAAATATAGTTAAAACTTTTTTACATAAAGACAAATGAATTGGACATTTTAGATGGAGTCCATGGAGACTGCAAATAAATGAACTTAAGGGTTGCCAATAATTGGGAGGCCGCCGATTGAGATGTGAAGTCCGCTTCCACTTTCACTTCCACTTTTGCGGCTTCTAGATCCGCCATTTACACTATCCTTGATGGCGGTACTGTATTCATTGTCAAAGAACCTAGACCACAGCATTACCCCTCCATACTTGGGAGAAGTCCTAATATTTGGCAAAACCTGAGTTTTAAGATCATCAGGTGGAATATACCCACTGCTAGCAGCACCTGGAGCAGCAGGTACTCCTAGGAAAATTTGGCCAGCATTCACAGTAGTCCATGTGTTCCAGGAGCTTATGAGTTGGTTGGCATTGCCGTTAGCATATTGACAGGGTGCATTGTTGTAGAATTGCACCCAAACATAGTCAAAAACACCTGTATTTATGGCGTCACTTAGATGAGCATCGGGGAAAGGGCATTGTGGTGCAGCTGATAAGTAGACCTTCCTTTCAGCAGTGCTACGTCTATTGAGTGCCCTTGCTAAAACATCATAGTTCTGTCCCGAGCCAAGTTCAATATCAAAGTCTATGCCATCGAGCACTGCATTCCCAAAAGGGCGTGAGTTTGAGTTTCCTCCTAGGAAGTTGTCCCAAAGATAGTCTGCTACCTGTGTGGTAAAAGAAAAACGGTAGTGAATTGATTAGCTTACATAACAAAGCTCCTACCAGAACAAGACCATTGGCCTAACCAAAGCTACATAGTTCAGCTGATAAAACTTTCAGGATAAAAATGCTGGTAAAGTTTTCAGGAGATGAATTAAAAACTTTGCATGAGGTAGCTTTCTAATTTATACCATCCTTGGAGCCCAGAAAAAAGCGTGACTAACTTTAGATCATTTAACAATCTTGATCTGTCACTTTAATTTTAATATTGTGATTGAAATACTATCGAATAATAACACTCATGCAGTTAAGTAGGAGAGTACACGGAAAATCAACAAGGCTGAAAAAGAAACAAAACACATTGACATACTGTATGTCACATACTCTGTTTTAATTGTGCACTGTATAATCGTATATATGCTAGGACATAGAATAATAGAATTTCTTTACTAAAAGAACAGTACTGACCTGTTGTGCATCAGCTGGCGAAGAAAGGGAGTAAGTACCAAGACCACCACCCAAAGAGAGGAGGACTCGGATCCCCTGCCTTTGACAGGCTGCAATATCATCCCCAATCCAGCTGCAACTTCCAGGATCGCTTGGGTTGCAGTGGCCAGCTAAGTTTAGCTGAGGGGTTCGGCCGCTGCCAAACACAGTTAGGAAAGCAATGTTAATATACTTGTAGTTCCCAGTGGAGCAGGCAGCAGCTAAGGTGCCCTCATCACCATGCTGCCCCCAATACGTAGCAATTCCAGCACCATGACAGAGATTCATGAACTGAGATGTAAAAATGAATAATGCGAGTGTCAAGACAGACATCTTTGAAACTTTAGAGGATGTCTTTTCTTTGTTTTTGCACATAAAAAATGTAAGCTTTTTATAGGCACGGCGAGGTCATGCATGTTAGTCCAACTATCCTTAGCCTCCCAGAATTAAGGATAATTATGCATTATGCATGCCCTACATTCTGATTTGTTTGTCAATTCGTGTAGGTAGGTAGAGAGGCATGTTAGGCAGTTGCTCCCTTCGAAGAAATTAATGAAAGATACAATAATGATTGTTCTCAAATATCCGCAAGTCCAATACTTAATTTTATTTATATTCTAGAAATTTCATTACATATTCAAACTTCAAATCAACCCCTCACATAAGTTCAAAGTTCTCAGCTCTCCAATTCCAGCCCAGCGCATCACATTATTAACTTTTATATATAGAAGACTTTAGACTTAATATAGGCTAATAACTCCCTTCATCTGGCACCAACCTTAATGATGTTAACTGAATTTTTTTTTTTTTTTTTTTTTTTATATATATATTTTTGCATAAATACATTCTAACTAATTAACGATTCCTTATCCTATCTTTAAAAAATTTAAAGATTCCTCAATCAACAGCTAGAATTATTAAAAAAAAATAATAATAAATAAATAAATTAACAGCTAGAAATGAGGATGCAGCACATGTGCATTATATACTAAAATCACCAATTTACCAATGAAAAGAACACATGCAAACAAGTCAAACCAGGATTGTAAATATATCAGCAATTACTAATGGAGCAAAAATTTACCCATGTTTTTAATTAGCTTCCTGACTTCCTGAGGTAGTACTCTAGTAGCCTATTACATCGTTTACATGGACATGATGAAAAAGCTCCTAATCAACTTTCCTAATACAACAATACTACTCCCTGAATTTGCAGTTATATTTTTTGTATTCCTTGGTATTATAAAACACCCTCCATCTTTGAATTTTGTTCTTACTTTAATTGATTTTGTGTCACTAAAAAAGTCAAAGTACAAACAACACTTAGAGATAGAGGGAGTACTAAATTTGAGATTTGTATGTGCTCCTTTTTAGTTATTTATTTATGATTTAACTAAAGAGTATACAACTTAAACAGTTGTCTTTTATTCACAATTCACAATATAATTGCCGGGAAAACTTTAGAGTATATAACACAATAGGAAGAGTGAAGAATATTATGGTGTACGGATACAAATTTTGTATAATTGAGGTAGAGATACATATTAGATCAAAGCTTCATTTGATGGAATGAAATAAGTTTGAAAATTACTCCATACAAGACAAGTATGTTAAATATTGCCTTGATTCTAGGTAGATATTGTAGTAATGAATTTGGTAGAATGAAGAGGAGATTCTCTATTTTTCTTTATGTTCCATATTTTGTCTCAAACTTCTTCTGTCAAATCATCAAGATCAAATCACTAAAATTTTATAATTCTAAAGTGGTTAATAAGAAATACAATTCAGGAAATGGTAAGACATTAAAGTGTCAAACATGTAGAAAGAAGTATTCTTGCTCCAAGCAACTCTTCTTTACCTCTTTTCCGCCCTCAAACTCCGCAAATTCTTTGGATCAGGTTATTTAGTTGATGCTGCATATAAGTCTCCATGTGCCAGCACAGCTGCAACCCTTTAGCTTCTATGTAACTATTCATGAAGGGTGCATGTTGACACTATGGGGCTATGTATATGCTCCTGCTGTGTGTTCCCTCCCAATAATTCCAGTCCAGGCATCCCTGAAATGTAAAAACAGAGGGCGTTAAAGGCAAAACAGCATATAATTTTCAGAACTTCGTTCAAAGTATAATGGAAACCTCACATGGGAAGAGAAATTAGATTTATGTAAAGGCTGAATGAGGAATTCTGTAAACTCGACATGTCATTAGTGACCAAGACTCCGTTCTCTGTACCCCAATGCTGTAATTGCTCCTAAGTTCCTCACTGCTGTAATAATCTGAGTTATCCTGCTCATTTCATTCAGTGATCTCCAGATGATGATTGATTATAAAATGACGATATCTTTAAAACTAGCCAACTTAAGATAAATACCTTACAGAAGAAAAGCATCACATATTCCAAGCCACATCCTAGAAGAAACTGTATGTACAGATTTCGGAAACCTTCCAGTAGACATCAAGATGGATGCAGGGAGATCCACACCACTTTGTATATATACCAATGAATAAAATGCTTTCACTGAAGCTGATAGGTTGAGCACAATTTTGTATGTAGTCACCAATAATCACCACAAGAACAAGCCCCGTTCTTGAAGGTATGAAACCTATTGGTATCTCTAACAATTATTTCCCGCCTAGTGATCTTGGATATGAGCTTGATTGCAACATGGCAATCTCCACAAATGCGAAGATTCTTAGTAATTCTGATAGGTGTTGGTGGTCTGGTATTTATAAGGGCAAACATTAAAGCCAGCTTTTCACTGTGAACTGAAAGATGGCCTTCTTTATCCTCCTCCTCTACATCATGAAGAGCAAAATTTATCTCTGGAACATAACCTTCCTCCTTCATTTTACCCATTAACACATGCAATTTCTCATATATATCATTAGACTGTGGATGTGATCTGTCCCCGGCGAGGAATGTATAAACCTGACCTTGATGCTCCAGATTACTAATGCCTGGCGTTTTGTTCATGCCTTTGGTCTTCATCAGTGACCTGATTGTGCTAACTTCCTTCCACTTCCCTGCTTTAGCATAAATGTTAGATAGCAACACATAATATCCACCCTGTTCAGGTACCATTTTAAAAAGATGGTCAGCTGCTATTAGCCCAATTTTCATGTTGGAATGGACACGACAAGCACCTAATAGAGCTCCCCATACTCTTTCATTTGGCTCAACTTGCATCTCCTTAATAAAAGAGAAAGCCTCGTCCACTCTCCCTGCCCGTCCTAAGAGATCAACTATGCAGCAATAATGCTCTAACCTAGGGGGTATATTGTACTCTTCAGTCATTAGTTTATAGTAATGCTGCCCTTCTTCCAACATCCCTGAATGACTGCAAGCTGACATAATAGCAACGAATGCAATGGAATCAGGAGTTAATCGCTCCTCTCTCATTCTTGAGAAGAGGGAAACAGCTTCGTTACCTTGTCCACTAACACCATAAGCAGAAATCATAGAAGTCCAAGAAACTACATCACGAATCTCCATCATATCAAACACTTCCCTTGCTTCCTTCAAGCAACCGCACTTGGCATACATGTTGATTAATGCGTTCTCCAAGGACAAACTTGGAAGAATTTTTCTTCTTTCAACAAATTTGTGAATCTTCCTTCCTAATGAGAAAGCAGAAAGATCACCACAAGCAGGAAGAATACTCGTAAATGTAACCCCATCTGCCTCAATTCCGTTATCTTCCATTTGAGAGTAAAGATCAATGGCTTCTGCAGCCATGGAATTGTTCACATACACAGCTATCATTACATTCCAAGATACCAGACTCTTCTTAGCCATCTTCTCAAACATTTTCTCGACAAAAACGACATTTTCAGAAGAAGTGTTAGTAACAGCTGGAAGCAAACTTGCCATAGTGCCAGCATCTGCATTTAACTCCACTGACTCCATTTCTCTACAAATTCTCAAGGCGTCGTCGAAATGCCCTTTCTGTGCATACCCAGCAACCATTGAGTTCCAAGAAACAACATCTCTTACAGGCATTTCATCAAGAACTTTCCTTGCATCAATCAAACAACCACACTTCCCATACATAGAAACTAATCCATTCCCAACAAACAAATTCAAGTTAAGCCCAACTTTAAACACAGCATTATGAATTTGCCTACCAACCCACAAATTCTCAGACCCGGAACAAGCTTTCAAAGCACACGGGTACGTATAATGATCAGGTCTAACTCCAACCCTAGACATACTCTTAAAAACCCTTAAAGCATCAGGGTACTGTTGGTGGGTTACATAGCTCCTGATCATAACATTGAAAAATATAACATTTCTTTCAGGACTTTCATCAAACAGATGACGTGCAATGCCTAATAAGCGAAAACTCGCATAAGCCCTGATCAATTTCAGTCGAATACAAGAACTTAAATGAAGATTATGGTGGGTTAGTATGTTGGCATGAAGTTTTTTCAGGGTTTTAAGATCTGGGTATGAATCCAAAATTTGGGTACACAATTCCTCTGTAAGAAACACATTTTGGTGGGAAAATTCGAGTTTTTGAATTTGTGGGGAAAGGGTTTCTAGTTGATTGAACGTTGATAAGTGGCGAATGAAACAATAACGCCGAATAATCATCTAGTAGGAAGTATAAAATGTCACTCTTTAAGAGGCCTAACGCCAAAAATATGATGCTAGGTTTAGGAAGAATAAAATGAAGTGATTTTAGTACATACTCCGTAGGCAACATAGCTCAAATACTCATAAAGTTGTACTCCGTAATGTAATGTTAATATAATGGAATTCAAGGCCGGTAAAGTCTATTCCTTACCTACTAAAAAAAAGGTCGATTTGGTAACTTGGTTTAAAAAGGTAATGCGATAAATTGCCAATTTGGTAATACATAGTACAATTGTACGAGTATAAAATGAGGTGACTATGAAAGATTTTCCATTTTTTTGGTCAAAAGTTGAAATGTGTCTAGAGTGTTAATTTGTTATACATGGGGGCAAAAATATACTGCTTATAAAAAGAGGGGATAAATAAAGGTTTTAAACTGTGCAGATTCTGCATTATGTTCTTGCCTCAGTTGAGCAACTGATGCGTTGTAGTTATCATGGATGCCTATAATAATCCAAGAGTTTAGTCTCTCCAATTCGTTAGGGCAAGGTCGATCACATGGCTTCGTTAAAATGGTAGAGCATTATAGAATCTCCTTGATCACAGCTTATTTCAGTATGACTAAACTGACACCCAGAATTTGTTATGCAATTATGGAACTATGCACCTGCTTCTTCCCTGCTAAACTGATACAGAAGTCGCTGTAAACGTGTCTTGAATTCTAGACAACATTAAGCAACGTGTTATTACAAAGGAATTACAGTTTACAAGGCTCCTAGCGCCTATACTGCTAAAATCACCTAATTATACATTTACTGAAGGATACACTCTACAGGTCTATTGAATTTTGTACATAAGGCAAGTAGTCTTACAGGTGCGTCCTGTTGTGTTTGTGCTTCACGCAAAGCTTCTGGTATACACAGGTATTTGTTTGTGTCTAAATTGATTAATACAGAGTATTGTTTAAGGCCAACAGAGCTTATAAATCAAAGCTCCCATTCATGATGCCACGACTCATCCTGAAACAAAGCCCTGTGAACGGAACCAGTTGAATTCCCCCCTTGCTCCCTATACTCTTCTTCATCACCAACACTACCATCTGAAGGGAATAAACATTTTTTTGCCCCACTTGTTGGGGTTTCGCAGACCCGATCATAGTTTTCTCTATGCCGGTCTTTCCTCTTGGACCTACGAAAAGAATCTGATTTTGACCTGGACAGTTTTGGCGGCTTAGGGGCCCACACTCTCTGCAAGTCTGGCATGGCTCTTCGTGTAAAAGAAGCAAACTTCAAAGCTCTTGTTCTCCTTTCTTGAGCTTCAACCAGTTTGCGATCATGATCTGTGCTACCGGTGTGAAATGAATCATCAGTAGAATTGGGTTCACTTCCTACTTTCCATGATTGACTGCTATCTTCACTGTTGAGTAGTGGATTAGGGGATTCATCATCACCATCATCAAACAATAAGAGATCCATTTGATCATAGATTCTATGTACAATATTCCCAAGGTTCTGCGAATACCTGGACATTCCACACAAATAATATCATAAATTGTGGATCTAAACTTCGTTCCAGCAAAACAAACCAAAAAGCAATTAACATTGAGCTAATATGTTGGAATTCAAAGGGCACCTGTAAGCTAGAAAATGAAGTTTTGGAAAACCAGTACCTAAACTTTTAAACAATCCAGAATCAGTGCGACCAGCATGTCTCCTCAACTACTAATTGCATATTTCTTGTCACAATTATCATAGTCATAATTTGACTCTGACATAAACAGGAACATGAAGGAGGATGTTCACTGAGGCTATACAATTTGTGAAAGGAACTGGACCTACTTAATCAATACACTTGATGATGAAAAGGGGCTACCACTACTTACATCAAATTGCACAAGTTTAAGACAAATGACAGCATGAAAATTTGAAAACTGGAATGCAGAGAAAATGAAATGACCCACTTGTCCTGACCGAAACCACTAAAGAAAAGGAGAATGGCTGCCCTAAAATTCCAGAAACAATGTTGGAGAACTATGTATGGAACAGAATCAGAACTTTCCTTAGCAGACACAAACAATTTCCTCTGACATCCTAAATATCAACATCCAAGATAGGATCCCATCATTCATGGAAACTTGGGAGGACTATATCTGCTTATCTTTATCCCTAACCACACTGATTTGAGCTACTTTAAAGGATGATTCCTTAAACATACCAAACAAGATCATTTTCTGGGAAAAATAAAGACATTCTCCAAAACAGTCGACTGAAAGATGGAAGTGATACAGAATAACAAGAAGATGATATAGAGGTCGAAATGTGGAGAAAACAAATGCACTTTGAAACACTACACCATGCAATCTAGAAGCTGCTTGGACTGTGATGATTGAAGTGGAAACCATTTCGTACAATAATTGGTTTTCAATGAACATCCATACTATAAAATAAAAGTTGGAAACTATGCTTCCAAGTCTGCAGTGATAATGAATCTGTTGATTTGGTACTATAAAAACGTGCTTTCATCTAAAATAATTAAGAAAAAAAAAACATTTCAGTCTATATCAGAGTGAATAGATGCCAACCACAATACTATAAATAAATGTCATGGTTATACAAGCATTGCTGATTGCATTAGAAGTGTATATACCTGCTTTTGATGGTCCTGCCCACATAATCACTAAAGTTGAAGTCTCCAAAAAATCCATCCTCCATGTTACACTGAATAAACTCTAAAAGACAGCAGATCTGCTTAACAAATTTGTTCTTAGTAGAATCTCGTATACCAGCCACAATCTCTGATTGAAGTATCTCCATGCGAAACAAAATCTGCAGCTCATACCTAGACAATGCTTAAGGAACTACCATGGCAAATCAATCAATATGTCGCGAACAGTAATAAAGAAATAGTAAAATTATGACAAACATTTATTATTAGACAAAAAAGTTAATGGAAGAAAAGGATACTGTCTAATTCTATCTCCAGATGAGGTACTTGATGACTGTGCATCTGTTGCTTTAGAGGATAGATCACCATCTTTGTGCTTTCCTGCTATGTCTTTTGGATCGATTAGTAAGAGTTTGATGAGCTCACCAGCTACAAGTCCTCCATAACTGCTACCATCTGATTTTTCAAGGGAGGCTTGACTTACTTCTTTTGTATTTGGTCCTAGTTTCCCCCTTAGCCAATAAATACATGAAGAAACAACCCGCTGCGCAAAAGCCACTAAGTCAACTCCTGATGCAATCCCATTTTGAATTCTCTGAGACAAATTACTAAAGAAAGCTTCTGCAGCTTCTTGTGAAGCTCCAGTTTGTTTTATTTGAGGTCCCATCACAGCATGTTCTTTAGCCAGAGAAGAAAGTAGTTGTTGACTTTCTTGATGCAACTGGCACAATCTCTCCTCTGTTTTCTCCATAATTTTAGGTGTGTCTGACTTGCATGGAAGTGATGAGCTATTTTTAGCAACCTGTTTTATCCAACACTGCAAAAACTTCAACTTCTTAGAAGTATCACATTCCTTGGAAAAGTAAGCTCCCTCAAGTTCCATCTCACAGGGTCGAGAAGCTGCTTTGCAGAAAGAGCCCCAGGAGAGATCCTTGTACCTGTGGGGATGCATTCTGTGCTTTCTCCTACTCTCACTTTTACGTGTCCCACTCACAGAATCCATACTCATGTCAATTCCAACAATTTTATCTCCTTTCTCTGAACTACCATGTCCAAGGTTTAGCTCACTTACACCATTTTGAGCTCCACATAAGTCAGTACTATCTTTCAGAATAAAAAGAAAAGCCGAATTAATAGTAAAAGGTTTGAGAACCCCCATGGTTATGATGCCCTTGGCATTTGACAAATGCAACAATGCCCAGTAACCTTTCCTATATAGAAAGCTTAAAAGAATCTGCCAGAAAGGTGGTGATTTTCTCTTCGTAAACCTACCTGTTCCTTCCAAAAGCAGGTCAAGAACTCTGTCGGCAAAGAACTCACTAGATGACTTCTCTTTCTTTTTCTTTGAATCTATGGATAACTCATCAACTAGTACCACATCAGAAATTTGCTCATCCATTGTTACAAGTTCGCCATCTCTACAGAGAGATTTTACATCAATCTTCACCAACCCATCACCAAAACTCTCCCAAATTCCACAGGATTGTTGAGAAAGTTTTCCAGCTTTTTCATACCCCTCAGAGATTGAAAGACCGTGAAGCCTACGCCCACGTAACATTTTAAGATCAAGCAGTTGGAGATCACAATACTTGCAAACCATAGGTTTCCCACTCACATCCAATATCTCAAGATTCAATTGCCCAAAAACTTTCTTACATTTATCATTTAATTTAGGATAAGTAGATGAAACACCAATCATCGGATAAATTAAGCCAAACGAAACAAGAGCAGAACCCAAAACAATTGAATCATTAGAACATAAACCCCAACCTAAACTCTTAACACCATTTTGAAAAAACCCCACTAATCTGTTATACTCGTCAAGTTTATCTTTTTCGAAATCGTTCCCGCTGTCATTATTACAGTTTACATCTACCCAGCTGAAATGAATATCCCTACTAGCAAAAGCATCTCTCGCATGCCCAAAAACCCCTCTAAATTTATCACAAAAAACATCACAATCATTCACAACATCATCAACACCCATAAAATCAATCAAGTCCTTATTTGATCTACAAACAGGTGAGAACAATACAACCAAATTCGACCTAACAGTCCCTAACAAATCAGAATCATTAGAACAATCAGACAAATCCCAACCATAATCATGAATTACCTGCGCAATCGAGCTCGATAAATGCGAACCCCTCGAAACCGAACCAGAAATCGAACCATCCACCAAATTACAAGCCAAATCAAGGGTCTGAGAAAGTGAAATTAGGGTTTCATCGGGTCGATTGAAGGAGAGAGAATTAGGGTTATACAATGAAATTGGAATATTGGGGAGAGAAGACGACGATTTGAGAGGAGAAAGAGAGGAGAAGAAGAGCTTGAAGGAGGAGAGAGAAAGAGAAAGAGGAGGAAAAGAGAGAAGAATTTTGGCGGAAGTGAGGATTGAAGTGAGGTAAGAATTAGGGTTTTGGAGGTGAAGAAGAGGGTTGAGATCGATTAAGAGGACGATTCTTTGGGTTTTAGAGTAGTTGATTGGATTGATGCCAGCCATTTTCGGCCGGAAATTCGCCGGAATTTGAAGGTTTAAGGGGTTGAAATGGCGGAGTATTGGGGATGAGATTGGGGATTTTGGAGGAGAGAGAAAGAGGGGATGAAGAAGAAAGGGAGGAGGGAAATGAAAGTTGAAATTTGAGGGTTTAGGCGGGAAATCAATGAATAAGATGCCAAAAATGCGATGCTCCACGTGGAATCTGGAAACGAAAGAATTTGTGATTGATACTCGTAATTTGAAGTATTGGCCCAGTTGAACTCTACGTATTATTCCCTCCACTTTGTAATAGATATTCGATTTTATATATTCAGCCATTTTCTAATAGGCTCATAAACTCGTTTGTTTTGATGGAAATTTTTTTCAAGAAAATTATATTCCCATTTTCCATTATTTGGTTAGTAAATGATTGAAAATATATTTCCCAATGGTGGAAAATATTTCTTCTAATAGTGAATGAGAGAAAGATACTTCGTATATGAGATAGTGTGTCCAAGCAATCAAGCATTTTTCTTACTATTTGTGACTGTGTGTCAAAAGAAGTAAAATTTGTGACTGTATATCATAGTATAATGTATCATACACGTTAACACGTAGTAATGTAGTATGTGATATTTGACCAAGAATTTATAAAATTAAAAATATAAAACGTGACATATAATATGGATTATGAGAAATTTTCCTGTTTAATGCAATACACCTATGCACGACAACAATCTTTGATACAATACTATGTATGTAAACAATCAATTAATCATACGAATATCTGGGTTATTACAATAATTGGAATCCTCACAGCAATCATCTGATACTCTATGATTCATGTAATCCCGGAAAATCTGGAAGATTATGTACTTGTTATTGTGTTTTAGAAGTATTTGATCCATAAGATTTCTGTTAGATTAACCTGATAACCTTTGTGTGTTACTCGGAGTTTTCATTTCAGCTCAAGTACCCTTGACACTAACATGGGCATGGACCCTTCGACTCATCATTTTGGATCAAAGTGGCCCGAAGTCATGGAAAATATCCACGTAATGTACGAGTTCTACATTGGGACATGTACCCATATACATACAACATTAATACTTGAGTGGCTGAGTTGGGTAACACAATAAAAACTCAAAAGTTATACTTCCTCCGTTAACGGTTATCTGCAACATTTACCAAAAACGGGTGCTAACTATTATTTGCAACAAACTTATTTCTTTCCTATTTTAGTAACATTTTTCTGTCGAAATGACCAAAATACCCTTACTTAAAAATTATTAGCACATAATACTACACATATCTACAACCCAAATCTAACTTAATTATGTAAGCTTATCCTCCAAAAAAATCAGATATCTTGGCAGATTCATCTCCCCACCACACCTTTCTCCTCCATCTTCATCTCTCATCATCTCTCATTTCTTCAATCTGCAGTTCATCATCATCATCTCTCATCATCTCTAATCATCTTCTTTCCCGAAAGCCACCCCTTCCCCTCCGTGTCGGCTGCCGGCACCCTAACCCTTAAACACCACCCTTAAAACCACCCTAAACGGATCGATTCCCCGGCAACGTCGACCCCCTTCTCTTTCCCCTACCCACGCTGCCCCCACTTTTGGTCCGTTCGCCCTCGAACTTCGTCAAATATGCAATCTCATTCCTCCTTCATCTAGGTTTTGTGGGTCTCGGGTGTGGATCTAGATGTCGGTGATTGTGGGTCTGGGTTTAGGTCAAGGTTTTGTGGTGGTTGATTCCGAAGGTGGTTGGTGGCGTGGTGTTGGGTTGCGTAGCGTAGTGGGTGGCGTGGTGTTCGGTTTCGTGGTGGTGGTTTAATTGTAATTAATTCAGCAATTCGTGGTGGTGGTCGTTTAATTGGGGCTTTTGGGGTTTTGGTGGTTGTTGTCGGTGGATTTTGGTGGTTGTTTTCGTTGGGTTTTGGTGGTATTCGCTGGTGGTGGTGGTTTACGGAAATTTTCAGTGGGTGTGTGGGTTTTCAGTGGGTTTGGTGGTGGTGGTAGTGGTGGTTTACGATGGGTTGGACGGTGGTGGTGGGGATTCTGGGTTCTGGGATTGGTTGTTGTGGTTTTAATTAATTGTGGATTTTTTTTAATAATTGGATTAGTGCTTAAGCATATGCCTTTAAAAACTTTTGTCTCGGCCTCCGCAACCGGTACAAACTCCGCAACCGGTACAAATGTTGCAAATAACCATAAACGGAGGAAGTATCTTACATTCATAACGTACTACTTATTTTTAAAATCTTGTTAATGACTGACAAATGATTATGGGATTTTCTTGCAGGCCAGAAAAGCTCTTTTAATCATCAAATTTTGGTGAAAATCAAATTAAGTACTTCTGTCATATCTAAAGCAATCTGATGCTGACTAATTAACTATAATTAAGTGCAATCTGCTTGAGAAAGAAACAGTTCCGAGCTTTGTAATCCTCAATTTGCGTTAGTTACTCCGTTTAAGACATTATATCTTTTTTAGGAGGATGTTTGCTCTTGTTAAGTACTTACAAGGGGTACACTCCTCTGGATGTAGAGGAGAATGACAGCAGTAAATTTGGTTTAGCTGCCCAAGTTACTCCGTTTTCCAACAGTGGGTTGTTCAGTAAAATGTCATTCTGTTGGTTGAACCCTTTGATGAAATTGGGTAGGAAGAAGGTATAGTGAAATTCACCCAATCAAAATCAATCTACTGCACATATTTTTTTTTTCCCTAAAAAATCGTTTTCAAGCAAATTCAATCAGCAATCCATAACACTAACTAGTCACATCCCAAATTTAGCAACATTTTCTGCACCAATTCTCTCTCCTCCCACATTCACCAAAATCAACACAATTGCAAACACAACATTGCCAATTTGCTAACATATTAACAAAAACACAAAATTAATGCCTTTTCACTTTTACGGTAATACGTTATACCCAAAAAAATTGATAAATTGCAAAAATCCAATTTTGCAACAGTAATAATAATTAGATTATATAAAAAATAAAACAACCCAGGAAGCAAAAATTAAAGAAGCGCAAACCTATTATAATGGTCGGTGATATCAGATTATCAGGGGACAGTTTGTACAAAATTAGGAGAATTTCTTGAGGAAAAAAGGTAGGAAATTGATGGGTTTTGAGGAATATAATGGAGGAAGAACTGATGAATAAGAAGAGAAGGTGTGTTTGGTTGTGGTGGGGTGAACCGGGCTTTTGAGAGAAACGATATGAAAAAAGTTTCAATATTTCTGGTTTTTTATTTTTTATTTTTTTTTTAATTTTCACAACTAACTTATACAGTATCTGTATTTCACACCATCTTTAAAAGTTCAAAGCAAACAAGATCAAATATATTTTCGTAAAAAAAAAAAAAAAAAGAAAAAAAAAAGGAAAAAAAAAAAAAAAAAATAATGTCTTTTCATCGTGAAAAAAAAAAACACACACACACAAGTTGTAGTATATGACAACTAAATTAGTTGATTAAAGTCTTTAACGGTGATATCCAACACTTGGGATCGAATATCTTACTAGATTACTCCAAAGGTTTCATATAGTGCACACAATCAAATGATTTTTGAAGATAGATTAAACATTGCTAAGTAATATAATATGGTTACTCTATAGTAATTTTGTCATATCTACATCAACTTGGTGCTAATTAATTAAATAAGTGCATTATTCAGTATTCACCACCTAAATAGAAAAAAAAAGTAATGTTGCAGTACTTCTAAGTTCTGTCATCTCTATAAAATCCAAAGCTAACCTTTTGTTTTTTGGTGGGTATTGGACATAATGTACAAGAGTTCGCTGCTAGAGCTTTTAATTATTGTTTCTACGATGACCAATCTAGTTGACTAAATTGTAACAACAATCTTGTGTTCCTGTTTATGTGTGCTAATTCTGAGTTCTTATGTTAATGCAGAGAAAAAGGTAGCTGAATCAAAATGGAAAATCTGTGGGCTTTATTTTGTTGGCAATCTGATTGCGAAAGAAGCAGTTCGGAGACTTGTAGTCCTCAGTTTGGGTCAGTTACTCATCCTTCATCATGTGTCAACCATGCTTTACTTGTTTGTTTCAATACACTGCTTTTAGCAGTCCTCTTTTACAGCTTCATTTGCAGATTTCTTTCCAAGAAACTCGAGCTAAATGCTCGTAGTATACGACAGTTCTGTGTCATACAGATACTGTCAGCTGTATATAATGGATGTCTTGGACTAGTTTATATAGGCTTTGGTCTTTGGATTTTGAACAAAAAGTTGAAAAGTTATGATCATTCTGTTTCACCAATTCATGGGTGGGTTATATTTCTATTTAATGGAGTTACATGGTTGTTGGTGGGACTAACAACAAGCCTCGGAGAGTTTTTCCCAAGAGTCCAATTGCGGATCTTGTCCATTTTGGCTTTCCTCTATGCTGGGATATTCTGCTTTCTAGCTCTTTTTGCTGCCACTGTAAATCATGCAGTAGCAGTGAAGGGGGTGTTAGACATTCTATCTTTTCTTGGAGGGGGTTTGCTCTTGTTAAGTACTTACAAGGAGTATACTCCTACGGATGGGGAGGAAATTGGGAGCTGTAAATCAGGTTTAACTGCCCAAGTTACCCCATTTTCCAAAGCTGGATTGTTCAGTAAGATGTCGTTTTGTTGGTTGAATCCTTTGATGAGATTAGGTAGGAAGAAACCTCTCAAGGAAGATGACTTGCCCAAACTACGGGACATGGACATGGCAGGATCTTGTTACTTGCAATTCATGGACCGAATGAATAAGCATAAGCAAGCTGAATCACTGTCAGAAACATCAATGTTTTGGATCATTGTTGCATGCTACTGGAGGGAGATTCTGATATCTGGGTCCTTCGCGCTTCTGAAGATACTTGCGCTGTCAGCTGGGCCTCTTTTTCTCAATTCTTTCATTCAGGTTGCTGATGGAAAAGAAGCATTCAGATATGAAGGTTATGTTTTGGCTGTCTCACTCTTCCTTTCAAAGATCCTAGAATCTTTGTCCCAAAGACAATGGTACTTTCGAAGCAGGTTGATTGGTCTTAATGTGAGGTCCATGCTCTTAGCAGCAATCTATAGGAAGCAGCTGCGATTATCAAATGTTGCCAGAAGGATACACTCTGGTGGTAATATAATGAATTATACAAGTGTTGATGCTTATAGGATCGGGGAATTCCCTTTTTGGTTTCATCAGATTTGGACAACAAGCCTGCAACTTTGCTTTGCATTAGCTATTCTAATACATTCAGTCAAACTTGCAACCATTGCATCATTGGTAGTGATTGTTTTAACGGTGATATGCAACACACCCCTTGCCAAATTACAGCATAAGTTACAAAGCAAATTGATTGTTGCTCAAGACGAGAGGCTGAAGGCTTTCTCAGAGGCTCTTGGAAATATGAAGGTGCTAAAAATGTATGCTTGGGAGTCTCACTTCAAGAATGTAGTCGAGGAATTGAGGAAAGTGGAATATAAATGTTTATTAGCAGTGCTGTTGCAAAAAACATACAATTCTCTTCTCTTCTGGACATCTCCTACATTGGTGTCTTCTGCTACATTTGGTGCATGCTATTTCCTCCGAATTCCTCTAAATGCTAGTAATATATTCACATTTATAGCAACTTTGCGTCTAGTGCAAGAGCCCGTCACTATTATACCCCATGTCATAAGTGTAGTGATTCATGCAAGACTTTCATTTGCACGGATTGTGAAGTTTCTAGCTGCACCAGAGCTTCAAATTGAAAACGTCAGAAAGAGTAATATGACCAGCACAAACTGTGCCATACTAATGAAGTCAGCAAAGTTTTCGTGGGGGATGAATTTATCAAGGTCAACACTTAGAAATATAAATCTAGATATTCGTCCAGGTGAAAAGGTAGCTATATGTGGAGAAGTTGGCTCAGGAAAATCAACATTGCTAGCAGCAATTCTTGGAGAAGTGCCATATATAGACGGAAATGTAAGCTTCTTCAATAGACCTCATAATTAAACCATTGCATAATATAATCACTAGCATTTCAAACCTTTAATATCTAAGTTTACTGATGATAAACAGGAGATTAATAGTAAATTGTTTCTCAAACCTTTCCCTTGTACAGGTTGGAGTATATGGGAGGATTGCTTATGTTTCCCAGACAGCTTGGATCCAAACAGGGACAATACGTGAAAATATTATTTTCGGATCTGCCTTGGATGATCTGAGATACCAAGAAACACTCCATAAGTGTTCATTGGTGAAAGATCTTGAATTTCTTCCTCATGGAGACTTGACTGTGATAGGAGAAAGAGGAATTAATTTAAGTGGTGGCCAGAAGCAACGGATCCAACTCGCTCGTGCATTGTACCAAGATGCTGATATATATCTTTTGGATGATCCATTCAGTGCTGTTGATGCACACACTGCAACTAGCCTCTTGAATGTAACCTTAGACCTTAACCATTAAATTTGTCTTTTACTTGATAACTAAGTTAACATCTGATATTCTGATCTATTTACATTGTGGTAGGATTATGTTATGGAAGCTCTTTCTGAAAAGACTGTCTTGCTTGTGACACACCAAGTTGATTTTCTTCCAGCATTTCACATTTGTTTGGTGAGCCCTCAGTTGTGTGATGTTTAGTTTGTGGAGTCTTCTGCTTCAAATGTGTGCTTCAAGCCTCGTTAGACCTTCAAACTTTCAAAGTTCTTAGTATTCCTTGTAAACTAACAGGATATCATTCTTGTTTTCAGCTGATGTCAGATGGGGAAGTTCTTCATGCAGGCCCTTATCATGAGCTATTAGCTACAAGTCAGGAGTTTTCGGACCTTGTAAACGCGCACAAAGAGACTGCAGGGACTGAAACACTAGCAGAAGTCAGCACATCTGAGAGGCACAATTGTACTGCAAAAGAGATTAATAAAGTCAATGTTGATGACCAATATCAAGCATTAACAGGGGACCAACTGATTAAACAAGAAGAGAGAGAAGTTGGAGACACTGGTTTTAAGTCATACATGATTTACCTGAATCAGAATAAAGGCTGCCTGTACTTTACTATTGTTGCTCTTGCACATCTCGCCTTTGTGACCGGCCAAATATTACAAAATACATGGATAGCCTCTAGTATTGATAATCCTCACATCAGAAAATCAAAACTGATAGTGGTTTATGTCATAAGTGGATTCGGCATGACATTCTTTTTACTTATTAGATCACTTGCAGTGGTTAAATTTGGGATGGAGTCATCAAAATCTATATTTTCTAAGTTGCTGAACTCTCTCTTTCGAGCGCCAGTGTCATTCTACGATTCTACACCTCTCGGAAGGATACTAAGTCGGGTGAGTATAGAACTTGCATATGCTTCACAACATTGATCCACATTAAGCTGATATTTCATTAAATTCTGCAGATTTCATCTGATTTGAACATTGTTGATGTGGATATCCCCTTCAGCTTTGTGATGGGCTTTGCAGCAACTACTATGGCATATGCTACTTTAGGAGTAATGGCCATCATCACTTGGCAGGTCTTGTTTGTCACTGTACCAGTCATTTACATGACAATAAGATTGCAAGTAAGTATATAAAGGATCTCCTCACATATAAATTTCCCCTCATACCCTTTTATAGCTTTATTTAACAAATTTCAAGGACTCGCTAAGCTTATCCAGATGTGACCGTCGTACATCTAATGTTAATAGTCTTAATACTCCTCCGTTCTATACTTATTGCAACAATAGGATTTCTACATAAATTACACACTATGCTTTGAGTCCTCTGACCATCTAATTTGTATTTTGTGTTTAAAAATAAATTATAGATATGAATAGTTAAGGTCGTGAGTGAAACTATAATTTGGGCTGCATTACATTTTCAGGAGACACTAAACTATGGTTGCATATTCTTGCGCTCTATCTTTCAAAATAATCATGCATTCTTCCTGATCTTGAACTCCAGATTTGGTGAACTGTAAATGTAAAAATGTCATTTGCAAAGCATAGTGTTTTCTGAAACTATTAGCTTGTTGCTAGGTATAAGCCTAATTAGTCTGTATATATATCAACAGCGTTACTACTTGGCAACGGCAAAAGAGTTGATGAGACTCCATGGTACAACCAAGTCTATGGTTGCAAACCATTTGACTGAATCATTAGCCGGAGCTATGACAATAAGAGCTTTTCAAGAGGAAGACTGTTTTTTCGCAAAAAATCTCAACATTATTGATACAAATGCAAGCCCATTCTTCCACAGTTTTGCAGCCAACGAATGGCTGATTCAGAGGATTGAGGCACTCACTACCACTGTTCTTGCAGTAGCTGCATTATGCATGGTTTCGCTTCCTCCAGGAACATTTAGCTCAGGTGAGATAGTTCTCTCTCTCTTTTGCTCTCTTTTGTGAGATTTTTGTGGTTAACAGATATTCTATGAGATGAGTAAAATTAAATCACCTAGGAGCATTTATGCAAGGTAATGCTAATACAACAAAAAATGCAGGGTTCATCGGAATGGCACTATCGTATGGTCTTACGTTAAACATGAGTATGGTTTTCTTAATTGAGAAACAATGTATATTAGCCAACGATATAATTTCGGTGGAGAGGCTTGATCAATACATGGATATACCAAGTGAGGCTCCAGAAGTCATCAAAGATAGCCGCCCTCCACAAAACTGGCCATTGGTTGGCAAAGTGGAGATATGCAATCTGCAGGTGAATATCTTTGTATCAAGATTTAAATTTGGTTGATTCTAGAAAGAGGGCAACATACTAAAAATTTTCATGTTCAATCAGTTGAGATACAGACCAGATACACCACTGGTTCTTAAAGGATTCAGTTGTACATTTGAAGGGGGCAACAATATTGGCATTGTTGGTAGGACAGGCAGTGGAAAGACTACCCTAATAGGGGCATTGTTTCGCCTAGTAGAGCCATCAGAAGGAAAGATTATAGTTGATGGTGTTGATATATGTTCAATAGGACTTCACGATCTAAGGTCATGTTTCGGGATTATCCCTCAAGACCCTACTCTTTTTAATGGCTCTGTACGATTTAATTTAGATCCGTTAAGTCGGCATGATGATGAAGTCATCTGGGAGGTATAATTTCTCTTTCTATAATAAGATTCTACTGTATATTATACCTAATGATATAATTTTGTGTTCTTGAGAAGGTGCTCGGCAAATGTCAGCTTTTAGAAGCAGTCAAAGAGAAAAACCAGGGACTAGATTCTTTAGGTAATTCTTCATTCTTTCAGAGCACAAAAAACCAGTCTTCGACCATTTTGTTATTGCAGACCTTGCAGATCAGTTCATACTTCACATCAACATGTGTTTTTATCAATTTTTGCACTAAACATTTTTCACCATTAGTTATGGAGGATGGGTCAAATTGGAGCATGGGACAACGACAACTGTTCTGTCTAGGTCGTGCTTTGCTGAGAAAAAGCAGGGTACTAGTGCTAGATGAAGCGACTGCATCCATTGATAACGCAACTGACATGATCCTGCAGAAAACTATAAGAGCAGAATTTTCGGATTCCACTGTGATTACTGTAGCCCACAGGATACCAACAGTAATGGACTGCACAAAGGTCCTTGCCATAAGTGATGGTAAGTGTTTGGTTTTTAACATTACTAATATGTTTAGGTCAGCTCAAACACTTCTAAACCACACTGTTCACAGCACCTTCCAGTGTATAATAAGTTGTGGATGTTCAGATATGCAGCAGAGAGCAAAATTCAGGATCAGGAAAAAAAAAGAAAAAACAAAAAAAAAAAAAAAAAAAAAGAAAAGAAAAAACAAAAAAAACCTAACTTTGAGATAAAATCAGCAGATGAGATCAATGCTAAAAGTTACACTGAAAATCCTGCAGGAAACTTGGTGGAGTATGATGAGCCAATGAAGCTAATGAAGAACGAAAGCTCATTATTTGGCCAACTCGTCAAGGAATATTGGTCTCATATCCATTCTACTGATCAGTCCTACTGAACATAAGGCATTTAGCACACCAATCATCAATAATTAAAGAGAATGAAAGCCTGAAATGTTCCAAAGTATTTGAGCTGAATGTAGAAGTAATAGATATTGTAAGTTCTTGAAAGCATGCAAACATTCATGCATTGATTGAAGAACTATTTTTGACATGTATAGATAATTTGATAGGATTCCTAGTGCTTTTTTTAGGACTAGTCAATATGCAAGTTGTGGGCAACAATAAATCAAGCAAGAAATATTCAGACATGTACAGGTGTATAACCATAAAATGCAATTTTTATAACATAAACATTGTTCCACAACCTAATGAACACGTATGCATTTCAGAATTTCTATACCAATGAATAACCCATATCCTTGCTTATGGTCCTCCAAGTACAGCATTCTCAATATCCTCTCTGCTGAGAGCATAGCTGAATCTTCTCTCCATATCTTTTTCTAGATTGCCTGATCCACTCTTCATATATCTGCATACCAAATGCAACTACTAGGTCAAAAATCATAGAGTAAAATTATAACAATCACAAGCTCAATTTACAAGTAGTAATTATATCTAGCGTAAGGATCTAAAGATTGATTAAGTATGCCATGAGAAGGTGGGCAAAGATATTGAGATGACACGAAATGGCTGAAGATTAAGGGAAAAAGAAGAAAATGATAATTGTGAACAGAAGCAATTGAAGATGAGTACAGTCTTTTAGGAGGTTTGTTTTCTCCCAAAGCACATAATTAAACTAAACTAAACTCCATAACACTAAACTTCCCTTCTTTGGTCTTCAAGCTAATCCTACAAATTAAGAATGGAACTTCTGGGTCACAGCTTCACAGGTCAATGAAACTCAAAGAACTTTTTGCTGGAAATGATCTGGAATATACTAATACTACGCGAAATGATGGCTTCTACACAGTCACACAATCAAAGACGACACATTCTAACACCACACCACAACTTATAAGCCTGAATGCAGAACACCACACTTCTTACCCCAAAAAACAAATCCAACAAACTTATCCCGTAATTCGCCACGGAAATCCCATAATCAAATAGTCCAAAGCTAACAAATAGCCCCAATTCATCCAAAACTCCTGTTGGTCTGGTTAATTGGTTTAATTACTAACCAAAAATTAATCTGACATACAATTTGGCAGTGTCCAATCCAACCACAAATAAGTTATGAAGTATACAGCAACTCAACCAATTTGCAATCTACAAAAATATTACATACGTAGTAATTTATTTTTTACTCGTAGCATCTTATTGTTGAACATTCCAAATTTAGCAACTTTTTTTAGCACAACTATTTCACCCACATTCAGCAAAATCATCACAATTGCAAACACAACTTTCCCTGTTTTTTTCACAGATTAACAAAACCCATAAAATAAAAAACAAAAAAAAAAACAAGAAATTGCAAAAACCCAATTTTACAACAATAATAATGAATTAAAAAAAAAAAATTAAAGAAATCCAAACCTAATATAAAGGTCAGTGACATCAAGGGAAAGTTGGGCACGCCATTCAGAATTATCAATAAACCAAACAGCCCTATCTTCATCAGTTTGATAAAAACCTAAGCTTTTAAGCCAAGCTTCAATGCAGGGCAAACTATGAGCATATAAAGGTTTCTTTTTATCAGGTAATCTGGAAAGCCATTCATCTTCTGATTTTGTTGTAGCAACTTCTGCTTCTGATTCTGAATCTGATGAAGCTTTTGGTACAAAATTGGGAGAATTTCTTGAGGAAAAAAGGAGGGAAATTGATGGCGTTTTGGGGAATTTTAAATGGTTTTTGATAAATTGATTCGAAAATAATGAAGAAATGGAGGAAGAAGAAGAAGAGAAAGTGGGTCTGGTTTTGGTAGGGAGAGTGAGACGAGTGTTTGGGAGAGATGAAGTGGATAACATTTTGTCTTTCAGCTGTGTTTGTTCATTGATTATTTTTGGTTTGATTGATCCAATTTTTGGAACTTTTTTTTATGAGTGTGTATGAGCCGAACTAGTTTTTTGGGTTGAACTTGGTTTACATGGTTTTCAGTTATATCCCATGTAGCCCATTGAGAAAGCGGACTAAGGGAGTGACAAAGGATTTCCCGTCCCGATTTTGGACATATCAAAACAGGATCCGTTTGGTAACGATTTCCCTTAATATTGTTAAAATAAAAATAAATTCTCATTATGCTTCATTTTAAAAACAAATTTCCAAAGTCCACCTATGATTGAGTTTCAGTTCACCTTAAGACCGCTAACAGTATTAGCGGTTTTCCAATTTTTTTTAAATAAAGTCAAAGAGACCTGTTTTTAAGACGATCTCTTTTGAACTTATTAGTGTAATTGCTAGCGCTCTCTTTTCTTGTTGTAGGCTAAGACTTGTGAATTAACCAAGGACACAAAGAGACCTGTTATTAGTTAGATGCGGTCTCTTTTCTAAAATCGCTAATGGTAATAGCGGTTGTAGTTTACAACCGCTATTACCATTAGCGGTTTTAAGTTGAACCAAAAGAAAAAAAAATAAAAATAAAGCCTAACACCAATCTTACGTGGACAATATTTAGGGAATTTGTTTTTAAACCAATGTATAATGGGAGTTGTTTTAGCAATGTTGTGGGAAATCGTTCTGGTATCACTGTGGTTTTTGTTTTTTAAAATCATATGATTATGTCATATAATGAACCAAAAATTGGTCATACTTATAAAGTTCATGATTATTTTGAAAAGTGGAAACACTTTTTTCTTGTTTTTTAATTTTTTGTTTTCAAAAAATAGAAAACTGAAAACAAAAAAACAAGCCTAAGTAGGTCAATCAAGTTGTCCTTTTTTTCGGATTAACTTGTCAACCCGACTCGCATTGAGGGCTAGATACTTTGAAAATAGAGCAGGGTCGTATGGATAAGAGTGAGGAAATTCCAGTCTTTAAAGTATCTTTAGGGCGATTGAATTCCTATGGTTTACCAATTTTTTAATGGCATAATGTACGATATATTTTCAACGTTATGTTTGAGAAACCATTTCACATATCGTCACTCTCATTTTGTTTTTCACGGCAAAAATAATTTTTCCTTTTAGGACACCTTATTTTCACTTACTTCAGAAAAAATTAGTTCAGATAATATAAGTTTAGGAAAATAAGTTTATATAGAGGCTACCCAAGATCAAATTATAAAAAATAAGTTATATAATAAATTCGGATAATTTTAAAATTGAGTGTATATAGCACGGGACTTGTTATTCATCGCCCGCAAATCTCTACATAAAGCCCACATTTTATAATTTTTTGACAAATTTGCCCTTTTTATAATTTTAACCGAAGATAAATTTTTCGCACTAAAAAAATGTGGAGCAGCACCGGATCGCCGAGGATCACCGGAGAATCGCCGTCGTCATCGGAAAACGAGGTTCGTAACGCATCGTAAGGACGAAATGGTGGCTGGCGCCTAGCCAAAAGGCCATGCCGTGGTTGTGGCGCCTAGCCAGGACGCCGCCACCGTGGTAACGGCGCCTGGTGGAGAAGCCTCGACCATGGTAGTGGCGCGTGGCCAGGACGCCGAAGCCACGGCCAGAGCGCCTGGCCAGGACGCCGCCACCATGGCGGCGGCGTCCTGACCAGGCGCCCCGGCCGTGGCTCCGGCGTCCTGACCAGGCGCCCAGGCCGTGGCTCCGGCGTCCTGGCCAGGCGCCACTAGGGGAATATATATATATATATTTTTTTTTTTTTTTTTTTTGATTTTTTAATTTAATCCCCTTTTTTTTTTTTTTTTTTTTGTTTTGTTTTTGTTTTTTTTTATTTGTTTGTTTGTTTTTATTTTTGTTTGTTTTTCTTTTTTTTTTTTTTTTTATTTTTTAATTTAATCCCTTTTTTTTTTTTTTTTTTTTTGTTTTATTTTGTTTTGTATTTGTTTATTTTTTTTTATTATGGTTTTTTTTGTTTGTTTATTTATGTTTGATAAATTTGAAATGAAATGTGTGTTATTATTTTGTTTTTTAAATGTATTATGCGTTAAATATAAAAATGATATTTAGAAATTTAAAATTTAGAAATTGCGTTTGTGATAATTTTGTGTTAAGTGTATTAATTTAATCTTAATGTAATTATATTTATACGTTATATGTTATTGTTACAGGATTATGGTGGAGACGGAAATGATTACAGTGGGATTTTTGTACATGATGGCCTGTTCGAAGATGCTCAACAAGCGATTGATTGGGCAAAACAGGTTGCAATTAGATCAGGCTTTTGTTTAGTAGTAGCAACTCATAAATCTCAACGGGATGGTAGAATGGATCGCATTTTGAGATGCGACCGTTATCGCAAAAGAGAAGAACGAGATTTCAGTAAAGCGATTCGGTTTGACTCAAAGCGGAAAGGTTGTGGGTGTCAGTTCCGAGTTAAGGTTCGACAACATCAAAGGCGTGACGGTTGGGAAGTGAAGGGTTACGGCAAATGGGGATATCACAACCATGAGCTGATAGCATACAAAGTGGGGCATCGGTGGGGAGGGGGACCTTGCGATCAAAATCATTGGTTCGATGCGCCACTTGATCTCTTTGCCGTTGCAAACATCTACAAGTGTGCAGTCATGCATTTCGGCCTTGGTTTACATAGTCGAGCCTATTATCCATGTACAACGGTTCTGCCCTGGTGTTCGCGCGAGACCGTCACCAGACCAGTAAGGGACGTTGCTATTGGATTCGTAGAGCAAGCGTGGAGGGTTGGGATGCTTTGTACCATGCTCGCGTGCAACAGTGGAACAATTTAATTGCCATGTAGTTTTTGTTGATGTACACCTACCTTTTACTATGAGGCCTTGTATTGTCAATACTATGTCATTTCTATGTGTTCATTTTTAAAAGATAATGTTTCATTTTAAAAACTAACAACAATAATTTCACAATATTACAAACTAAAAAGATAATATTGAATTTTAAAAACTAAGAACAATAATTTCAAATATTACAAACTAAAAAGATAATGTCTAATTTCAAATATCAGTAATCCCTCTGTGACGCCCACTGCCACTGCTCAAGAGTCCGTTCCAGATCGTCAATAACAGCTCTGCCTGATGCACTCGTCATGCAGTCCCTTTCCTCAAAAAGTCGGTGTCCCAACTGCATAATCTTGCCCATCCACTACACAAAACAAAAAACATGAAACGACGTATTATACATATATATATTAAAATAAGAGAACAACAAATAAAAGATGAGACGTACCGCATAAGAGGCAGTGGCAGGTGGCACATCGTCATCATCTGCGTCGTCGATGTCTTTGATCAACCTCGGGTGCGAGTGCCGGATGTACCATTCCATGTAGTGCTGGTCACACATGGCAGTCACCCCACTTGGCGGCCGCTGCAGCTCCGCCGTCCATAGGCGGGCAACCATCGGAAACTGCTCCCACATGGATATCATGTTTGCCGGCCATTGGACGACGTACTCCTTCGACGACGCAGATTGTACCGCCTTACTGGGCCATGCCGGTGGAGGTGGGACAACTTGGACAAATCCAAGCTGGCGAAGACAGCGCTGCGGCATGTACGCCTCTACGATCTCGCGATACTGAATCAGTCCGGTGTAGAGGGTCCTGGGTACCCTATTACTAGGGTTCTGGCCGAAAGGCATCCAGTTCACCTGCACATTATTTAAAATCAGTAACAGTCATAAAATAAAGCATCAGATTGTAAAAGTAGAAATAATTTAATCACTGTACCTCTAAGGGGGACATCCTGTCAAGCGATAACCGTATGGAGCGCAGGCGGTCAACGGACTTCTTCTCGACACGCGGACTCCACGCACAGGCACGTGGCTGGCCATCACCAATGGGAACCGGGTCGCGGTGTGGTCGAAACGCAGGAAAATACTCATATATCCAGGTCTGTAACAACGTCAGACATCCAGTGATACCTGCTGCATCAGCCCGGCTCGAGAATCCTAACTGGCGATACAGATACGCCAGCGTAGCCGACCCCCAAGAAAACTGGCCTACTCTGTCGGGCTCACACGCGTCAACTATGTCGCGTGGCCTGAGCTTGTTCCCGCTCTTATCCGGAAACAAGGTACACCCGAGAAGAAGAAAAACATATGCAGCCAGCTGTGTGTCCTGCGTCCTACGTGCCGTAGGGTGCAAACATCGCTGCAAGACGGCTGCGATCTTAACGCCGCCGTGATCCCACACACCAAGTGCCGATGTGTACAACGCAGCCCTATCCACCGCCAACAGCTCCGCTAGTAAATCTGCCTGATCCGCATCAGTGACGACAGATGCTCGGTTTCCCTCCACGGGAATCCCAAGGATGGCCTCGACGTCATGCAACATGATCGTCATCTCACCGAACGGAAGGTGGAACGAGTTCGTATCCGGCTGCCATCGCTCAACGAAAGCCGTGATCAGCGTCCAGTCAATCATGTCGTGCATGGTGGCAGGAAGGTGACTCACTCTAGTGCCCCTCAATCGCCCGACCATCTCGCTCTCCTCCGGCCAAGCATCAGCCCAGCTACACAAAAACCTACAAGTCTTTTCCCGGGTTTGGCATTTCAAAATGCCTGTATCCAAAGCCCTCTCCTGGTCCTCCCAAATACGGGTAGCGATGTGTCCTAAAAAGCTAGGAATCACACTCCCGTCTATAGGTCCCCCGGCCACCTCACCCCTCACCATCCAAGAATCATTAACGGCCCTCGACCGTTTTCTGCTACCCGCAGACACAGTGGACGCAGATGATGTGCCAGATCTACTAACAAACCTACCATCTCGACCCTTACGCACATCTACCCTATGCGTCTCATACGTATCATCAAGCCTCTGACTGAATGGACCGTAATCATCATATGGTCCACTCTGATCGTCGACATCCTCATCTGCATCATCCTCGTCCTCGACCTCCTCCTCCTCGACCTCCTCCTCCTCCTCCTCATCATCATCTTGATCGTCCGCAGAACAGTGCACCCGTTCTCTGCGGGCCGAGGCCGAAATACCACGGGATCTAACGTGTCTGGGCCCCGAGCTCTCCATTGAGTAGATCGTACTCCTCACGACGTCAATACTCTTCCCCGCACCAGGTCCAAATTGCGATGCCTAACTCCAAGTAAATAACGAAACATAATAACGAAAACAAATTAAAAAAAGTCGAAAATAAACACAAAAGCAAATAAACAAGTCACGGAAATAAAATTATAAACATAAAAAATATAAATATATACAAGACAATATACATATAAACATAAGAAATATAAACATAAACATATACCAAAAACAAAAAATATAAACTACAAACAAAAAAAAACAAACATAAACAAAAACAAAAACAAAAAATATTACCAAAAACAAAAAATATAAATACAAAAAAGGACGAAAATAAACACAAAAGCAAATAAACAAGTAACGGAAATAAAATTATAAACATAAAAAATAAAAATATAAACAACACAATATAAATAAAAACATAAAAAATATAAATATAAACATAAAAAAATATAAATATGAACAAAACAATATACCAAAAACAAAATATATAACCAAAAACAAAAAATATAAACAACAAACTAAAAAATGAAAAACATAAACAAAAACAAAAAATCAAAAATGCAAAGAAAAAAAGAAAAACAAATTTTAAAAAAAAAAAAAACAAATTTTAAAAAGGGAGCATACAATTTAAAAAAAAGAAAAACAAATTTAAAAAAAAAAAAAAAAAAATTCGAAAAAAAAATTTAAAATTAAAAAAAAACAAAAAAAAATTTAAAAAAAAAAAAAGAGAAGGAGGCGCCTAGGCAAGACGCCCGTACGGTGGTGGCGGCGCCTAGCCCAGACGCCACTACCACGGCTGTGGCGCTTAGCCTATGCGCCGCCGCCGTGGTAGTGGCGTCTGGGCTAGGCGCCGTCACCACCATATGGGCGTCTTGCCTAGGCGCTTCCTTCGTGGTGGTGGCGTCTCGCCTTGGCGCCCCACCGTCGTCGGAGGTTTTTTTTTTAAAAAAAAATTACAAAAATTTAAAAAATTACCTTCTGGCCGGCAAACCGCCTTCCGCCCACCGCCGGTGCCGCCACTTCCTTGCCGGGCCGCCTCGACATAGCTCTGGAAATAATTTAGAGAGAGAAAGTGGAAGTAGAGAGTAGAGAGAGAAATTGTGTTTTTTAGTTTGAGGGCAAAAGTGTCATTTCACTCTTATTTTGTGGGCTTTATGTAGGAATTTGCGGGCGATGTTTAACAGTTCACATATAGCACATCCTAATTTTCCAAATCACGAATCAAAATTAATAACCATTACTTTCTTTGGTTCAACATTTCTTTGTCTAATTGTATATGCTCCGTACTTAGGGATTTAAGAAACCGCACAACTAAGTAACTAACGTATTGTAAAACTAAATTTTAACATATTATATAACAAGAAAATACAGGATTATTTTCGTGATAAACAAAAAAAAAATATATTTATCTAGTGGCATTTAAATAAATCAACAACTTTTATTGACTCCAGCTTATTGACTGAAATGACAAATTTGCCCCTTTACGATAATTTCAATTCCAACATGATAGGGACAGAGCTTCAATTTTAAAATTGCTACCCACCTATTGTAGGTGAGTCCTTTGCGATCTTTAACATGTTTTCAAGTTGAGAGAAACTTGTATTTTCTCCATAAATTGCATCTTCAGACTCCGGTGCTGCCACAGTTCGATTCTTAATGTCGAATTTCCTGCATTCCCTCCAGGTAACTTTCTTAATTTATTCCATTCGATCCAATAATTCTTGAAAATGGCGAATTATCAAATCACTGTTATACCAAAACATTCTACTTTTTCAATCTCTTAAAGTCTAATTCATGACTTCAATCATAATTTCTAAAATTGGCTTCAAGAGTAATTAATATACATTAGTAATCAATTAAATTTATTAATTTTGAAACAATTCAACCAAATTGATGATATTTTGCTAAATGCTATAGCTTCTGTGAATTGTGTTGCATTATTAACCTGATATTATTCAATTACTTGCATATAATGGCCTGCTATTATTTGAAAGAAGGAGAAAAAGAGTGTAATCAAAGTTTTACATAGTTTTTTTCACCTTCAACGCCTTTAGTTTCGAGGCGATTGTCGTGTACAATTGGAATGAGACCAGTATTCCTTAACTAGTTGGCGAAATAGCGAACCTTCCTTGTTCATTAGATTCACTGGTTCATCATACTCTACCAAATTTCCTGCAGAAGTATCACATTACAGTACATCAGAATTTAGCGTGTTTTATAGTATTTCGGCCTCTGCTGTTAATCTAGAAGAACATAACATAGCGTTTGCACCAGCTGCAAATCTGTTGTGGATGGCCTTAAAACAAATAAGATCTGTATAGGATTATAAACGCGAAAGAATACTAACCATCTCTTATAGCAAGGACCTTTGTGCAGTCCATCACGGTTGGTATCCTGTGGGCTACTGTGATCATAGTGCAGTCTGTCAGTTCTCTTCGTATTGTTTTCTGCATAATCATGTCGGTTGCATTGTCGATTGATGCAGTTGCTTCATCGAATACCAATACCTTGCTTCTTCTTAGTAAAGCACGGCCTAGACAAAATAGTTGTCTCTGACCCATACTCCAATTTGATCCATCCTCCAGAACTGATATGAAACTTCAGTGAATATTATGGTTTAAAGATATTAATTGGCTGAAAAGTGGTTTCGAAATTAGTGTTACCTGAGGAATCTAGGCCATGCTCTTTATCTAGGACATCTTCTTTTAGTTGACATTTTTCAAGCACCTTCATATGAATACAGAAAAGAAGGTGCAGTTGTCATGGGTTGAACAAAATGTTCAGAGATGTATCTATTGAAGAAAGAGAGACTTTACCTGCCAGATTTCTTCATCATTACTTTGGCACAATGGATCTATATTGAATCTTACAGTGCCGTTAAAGAGTGTAGGCTCTTGGGGAATAATCCCAAAACGTGAACGTAGATCATGAAGTCCTATCGAACCTATGTCAATTCCATCAACTATTATCTTCCCTTCAATTGGCTCCATCAAGCGAAACAAAGCCCCTATTAGAGTAGTCTTCCCACTTCCAGTCCTACCAACAATACCAATTTTGTCTCCCCCTTCAAACGTACAACTGATTCCTTTAAGAACCAGGGGTGTATCTGGTCTATATCTTATCTGTTTCAGAAATGAGAATTCTTTATGCCTTGCCTTTATAGAATTTATCAAATGTGATTCTAAATGTAAAAAAATTCACCTGCAGATTGTATATCTCCACTTTACCAACTGATGGCCAATTTTGTGGAGGGCGGTTATCTTTGATTATTTCGGGAGGCTCACTAGGTATGTCCATGTACTGATTAATCCTCTCCACAGAAATAATATAGTTGGCTAATGTGCATTGAAATTGAATTGAGTTTACCATGCTTATGTTTAGCGCTAGACCATATGTTAAAGCCATTCCAATGAAGCCTGCATGATTAGTTGTGTTAGAGTTTCTTTATTAATTTATCTTTGTTGATTTATGCACAACTCCATGCTCTTCAATAAGTAGAAGATTTGCAGCAATTGAAATTTCACAAGAGAGAAAGGGAGGTATAATTACTCACCTGAGCTAAAAGTCCCGGGAGGAAGCAAAACCATGCACAATGCTGCTGCTGCAAGAACAATGGCACTGAGGATCTCAATCCTTTGAATTAGCCATTCATTAGCTGCAAAATTGTGAAACAATGGACTTGCATTCGTATCAATAAGATCCAGAATCTTAGCAAAAAAACGATCTTCCTCCTGAAACGCTCTTATAGTCATTCCCCCAGCTACAGATTCAGCCAAATGGTTTGCAACCATAGACTTGGTTGTACCATTGAGTCTCATCAACTCTTTTGCTGTTGCATAGTAATACCTCTGTACACAAGATTGATAGGCTAGTTTGTGTAAATTCTGCAAATTTAAGAGTTACTATAACTCTTTCACTTCACTCAATGACAATATGTATCATGATTTAGAGTTCATTTAGTGGCAGGTGAATAAAGTTGTCCTCTACACCTTGAATATAATAGAGAAATATCTGTTACCGCGGTTTCCCCTAAAAACATAGTTCTGCCCCAAATTGCCAAATAGTGTAGTTTAGGACTTTAGGCTCCAAAAATGTGTCACAAAACTCACAATTAAGTTGTTCTATATATTTTTTTTGGTGACATAAAGAGTTGTGGGGAGAGTTGAATTGGGAGAGGGTTATTCAAAAGCTTACCTGCAATCGAATTGCCATGTATATTACTGGTATGGAGATTAAGAAGACCTGCCAAGTAACTATGGTCAAAACTACTAAATTAGTGTATGCAACTGCAGTAGCTCCAAAGGTTGTCATGAAGATGAAGGGGATATCAAGATCAATAATGCTCAAATCAGAGGAGATCTGCATGGTAAAAGAAATGCAGGTAAATTACTGTAACAATTTTAGTGTGGATCACTGTTGGGAAGCTTATGATAACTTTATTCTTACCCGACTTAGTATCCTTCCAAGAGGTGTAGAGTCATAGAATGACATTGGAGCGCGAAAGAGGGAGTTTAGAAACTGAGAAAATAAAGATTTTGATGTTTCCATCCCTAATGTAACTGCTGCAAGAGATCTAAAAAGTATGCAGAATGTCGAGCAGAGTCCAATTATGAGGTAAACCACAATCAATGTTGATTTTCTGACATGAGGATTATCGATGCCATAGGCCATCCAAGTGTTCTGTAATATCTGGCTGATCAGAAAGGCAAGATTAGCAAGAGCAAGAATTGAAAAATATAAATAGCCTTTATTCTGATTCAAGTATATTAAGTATGGCTTAGAACCAGTGTCTCCAACATCTCTTTCTTCTTGTTTTATCAACTGATTTCTTTTCAGTGGTTGATATTGTTTCTCAATATCCATTGATGTCTTAACCTCTTTTGCTGGATAGTTATGTCTTCCATCTCCGGCGAGTGTTTTAGTACCAGCAGTTTCTTTGTGTGCTGTTACAAGGTCCAAAAATTCTTGACTTGAAGCTAATAATTCATTGTAGGTGCCTGCTTGAAGGACTTCCCCATCTGACATTAGCTACAAATAAGAACATTTGATGATTACTGATGCAGGGGCTCGGATAAAAAGGGAAAAAATTATAGAAAAGCATAGTTTTAGTGGGAGCAGAAAATATCTAAGTTTACTGATTCTTATGCATACATTTTAAGAACACTTACCAAACAACAATGAAATGCAGGAAGAAAATCAACTTGGTGTGTCACAAGCAGGACAGTCTTTTCAGAAAGAGCTTCCATAACATAGTCCTGTCACAATGTATGTAAATAGTCATTTATTACTTTAGGTAAAATAATAAGGAAATGAAGAATTTTATGGTGAAGGTACAAGAGTTACATTGAAGAGGCTTGCTGCAGTGTGTGCATCAACAGCACTGAATGGATCATCCAAAAGATAAATGTCAGCATCTTGGTATAATGCACGAGCAAGTTGAATTCGTTGCTTCTGCCCACCACTTAGATTAACTCCTCTTTCCCCTATTTCAGTATTGTCAGCATAAGGAAGAAGTTCAAGGTCCTTCACCAGTGAACATCTCTGGAGAGTTTCTTGGTATCTAGAATCATCCATGGCAGAGCCAAAAAGTATATTCTCACGTATTGTCCCTGTTTGGATCCAAGCAGTTTGGGAAACGTAAGCAATCTTCCCACAGACTACCACCTGTAAGAGAAAACATGTTGAAGAACGGGGCAATATATCCAATAAAATCTCGATAAATTTGTAGTTAATTATGGAGTTAGCTATGTGACTGTGCTATCAAGAAGGTTCATGCAGTCATGAGAGTTAAGCTTACAATTCCGTCTGCATGTGGTACTTCTCCCAGAATTGCTGCCAGTAATGTTGATTTTCCTGAGCCAACTTCTCCACATATAGCGACCTTCTCACCTGGATGCACATCTAGATTTATGTTTCTTATTGTTGGCTTTGATGAACTTATCTCCCATGAAAGATTTGCTGACTTCATCTGAATGACATGGTTTGTGCTGTTCGTTTTTCTCTCCTTCCTGATATTTTCAATTTGAAGCTCTGGAGCTGCAAGAAATTTCACAACTCGTGCAAAGGCAACTCTTGCCTGAATAACTACACCAATAACATCTGGGATAATTTTGATAGGCTCTTGTCCCAGCCGCAAAGTGGCAAGAAAGGTGAAAACATTACTGGCATGTAGAGGAACTTTGAGGAAATAACATGCCCCAAATGTAGCAGCAGAGATCAATACAGGAGATGACCAGTAGAAAAATAAACTGTATCCTTTTTGTAACTGCACTGCTGATAATCGTTTACATTCCACTTTCCTCAATGCTTCGACTACATTCTTGAAGTGCGTCTCCCAGGCATATAACTTTAGCACCTTCATGTTCACAAACGCCTCAGAGCAAGCCTTCAGCCTTTCATCTTTAGAAACCATCAACTTGCTTTGAAACTTATGTTGTAATTTGCCAATAGGAGTGTTACAAAGCACGGTTAATAGAATCACTATTAAAGATCCAACGGTTGCAAGTCCAATTGAATGTATCATAATAAGTAGTGCACAGCAAAGTTGGAGGCTTGTTGTCCAAGTACGATGAAACCAATATGGAAATTCCCCGATTCTATAAGCATCAACGAATACATAATTCATTATCTCGCCACCAGAGTGCATCCCCCTGGCAACATTAGATAATCTTAGTTGCTTCCTGTATATTGCTGCAGTGAGCATGGACCTCACTTTGAGGCCAATCAATTTGCTTCGGAAATACCATTGCCTTTGTGACAAAGATTCCAAAATCTTTGAAAGGAATAGTAAGATGGCCAAAAGATAACCTTCATACTTGAAAGCTTCTTTACCCTCAGCTACCTTAATGAAGGAGTTCAGCAAAAGAGGTCCAGCTGACAGTGCGACTATTTTAAAAAATGCGAAGAACCCTGACATCAGAATCTCCCTCCAGTGACATGCAACAATACTCCACAAGATTGTGGATTCTGACGGCAACTCATTATCCTGTTTCCGTTTACTCACTCGATCCAGAAACTGCAGGTAACAGGATCCTGCTCTGTCTATGTCTCGAAGTTTTGGTACATCATCTTCCTGAAGTGTCTTTTCCTTACCCAATTTCAACAAAGGTTTCAACCAACAAAATGACATCTCACTGAGCAACCCAGCTGTGGAAAATGGGGTAATTTGGGAAGCTAAATCAGTTTCTCTAAGACCTTTATCCTCAACATTCAAAGGTATGTAAAGGGTATTATTTCCATCACTAGCCATCCCTTCATTCTTGTATCCTTTGTAAGTACATAACAAGAGCAAACCTGCTCCTAGGAAAGACAGAATATCTAAGCCAGCCTTAACTGTAATTCTTTCATGGTTCATTATGGCGAAGTAAAGAACCAGACAACAGTAAATCCCAGCATACAGGAAAACCAAAATGGACAAGATTTGCAATGGGGCTTTCGGGGAAGATCCTCCTCCTATATGTTTCGTTGTTAGTCCCATGAACAACCACGTAACTCCATGAAAGAAATATATAACCCACCAATGAATTGGTGAAATAGAATGATCATTTCTCAACTTTTCCTTCAAAATCCAAATACCTAAGCCTACGTAAACAAGTCCCAAAGATACATTAAAAACAGCTGATAACATGTGTAGGGTTGAAAACTGTCTATGATTAGCTCGTATCTCGATTTTCTTGGAAGAAATTTGGTAAATGAAGCTGAATAAGAGGATTATCAGAAGCAGTATATTGAAGCAAACAATGGAAGCATGGTTGACACAGGCAGAAGGATGGATAACAAACATAAACTGACTGCAAGGTTCAGAACTGTTTACTGCACAATCAGTTTGCCCACAAAATAAAGCCCACAGATTCTCCATCTTTATATTACCCATAAAAGTCTCTGACATCAATCATCAAGGAGAATAAAGCATCGAACTTTACCAGGAGCTCATGCAACTCTGGTGATTATCGATATTTGATCTGAAAACAACTAGAGCACGGTACAACTATATTAGACCATAGAGGTATAGAAATACTATCACCTTTGTTTTTTTTTTTTTTTTTTTTACTTGGCTAATGCAAGGAAATCATTCATCAGGAATTCAGGATCGTTGTACCATGTTGCTCAAAGACTTGATGCAAGAGCTTACCTGAAAGAAAAACCATATTGTAGTAACTCGTTCCAAACTTTCTGCACGTACAGCAGCTGCTAGGTCATACGACTACTAGCAATGGTATGATAAAGATATACTCCACAGCTTTTCTTGTAATTTTTGATGCATTGGAGCTATCTTCCTTGTACCATACCCTTGCAATACGATTATGTGACTAAAAACTTCGACTCAATTAGGCTAGTTTTGGTGGAAAAATAGCTTTACTACGACTCATGTGCTAGATGCATTGTAAAAGCTTTTATGAATAAATTATTGTTTTACTATAACTTTTTTCTGGGTGAATGAGGGAATATAATTTTGGCTTTCTGAATTTTTTTGATGATTTTTATTTTGAACAAGTTTCAGTGCGGTTACTGTCGTTTAGTCACTAAATTTGAGTGATTAATAACTAGTATGCTTTACATGTGTGTCACTTACTCTCCACTAAGATGTACTTTATGTCATAGTTGGTATTATTTTTTGAGATAATAGTAATGATTTGTATGTTTAAACAACTACTGTAAATTAATTGAGGTTGCCAATGGGCTGGGGACGCCGGGCTGGTAATTGGGACACCGTGGCTGGACTGAACCGACCAATTCATATGGCAGTTCAGGTGGGCCAATCATAATCAGGCTGGTTGGCTGGGACTACTCTGGGAGTTTGGCTCACAAAGTTAGGTGAACCGGTCTAAGCTGGGCTGAGACGGGTCTGCTCGTGCTAACCCAGCCCCCTCATCTTGCTGTTTTGTACTTTTGTTGTGTAAATGTGTGATAGACTAATAGTGGTTACAGGAGTCCACTATTATATCAATTTGTGGTATTTGTTTATCATGATCTAGTTTGACCATTCTCTTCCAGTTCCTCTTCATGATAATCTGAATTTGAAGTTGCAGCTTGCAGTTCACATGCAGATATTTGAAGACTGAGTTTGATCATTCAAGTGAAAGATGTTGAAGGGCATAAGAAATTTTACTCTTCATCAGTACTAAAACATGGTTCGAGTTCCAGCCATGATCCAGCTTAATGCACTATTCTGATGCAAAACCACTTTGCTCACAAAAAGTAAGCCAAACTTTATACTTTCTGAAATCTGTCTTATGATTTCTACTATTATTGCCTACAAATAGTCAAGTAGAGATTAGTTTGATTCTTTGAAAGATCTTTGCTCACTGCTTCTCTGATTTACCAAGTTGTAGCTTAGAAATTAGATGAGCAGTTGCAGCAGATTGCATTACATGTTATATATATCGTGTTATTCTTCTCATGTTGGCCATATGCCCATACCGTGTCATGAGATTTATGACTCGAACAAACTAAAAGAGAATAGAGGGATCTACATCAATTCAAAATAAATTTGTTGCTCCTTCATGACTTTTGTTTAATGTGACTGACCAGCAGAGTGAATATGAGACCAATACTCTTTGACAAGTTGGCCAAATAACGAACCTTCCTGTTTCATCAGCTTCATTGGTTCATCATACTCCACTAATTTTCCTGCAACAGAATAAAGATATCTTTTTAGATTCTGATCTCATCTTGGTAATACAGAACATAATTTATGGTTTCTTCTGTATTCAGTAACTTCTATTTCAGATGTATTCTAAGATTCAACATTGCTAAATCACATTACAACATATAAATTGGAAGCTGTCTCTAAACTTAATGTTTGGTTTATACTTAATTGTGTTGAAAATTAATGTGACCTTAATCTTTTGGAAAGTTTGGAAGGATTTAAAGATAACTGACCGTCACTAATGGCAAGAACTTTTGTGCAGTCCATCACGGTTGGTATCCTGTGGGCTACGGTGATCACAGTAGAACCTGCAAACTCTGTTCTTATTGTTTTCTGAAGGATCGTGTCAGTTGCATTATCAATTGATGCAGTCGCTTCATCAAGCACTAACACTCTACTTCTTCTCAGCAAAGCACGCCCTAGACAGAACAGCTGCCGTTGCCCCATGCTCCAATTTGATCCATCCTCCAAAACTGGTAAGATTGTCAGTATCATTTATAAAGTGTTAACTGACTAGGTAATTTCTAAATATATGAATAGTAAAATGGTTAGGTGTTTTTCTAGATGAACAAAGACTTGCCTAGAGAATCAAGCCCCTGGTTCTTCTCTTCAACAGCTTCTTTAAGCTGACATTTGATGAGCACCTTCCAATAGAAACGGGTAAGTTAGTTGTTTTGCATTACTAGAGAAAAATAGAGCACCAGCACTGTGTAATATATTTAAATCTACCTCCCAGATTTCTTCATCATTATGTTGACATAAAGGATCCAAGTTGAAGCGTACTGAGCCATTAAAGAGGGTAGGATCTTGTGGGATTATCCCAAAGCGTGACCTTAGATCGTGAAGTCCTATTGAACATATATCAATGCCATCAACTACAATCTTTCCTCCTACTGGTTCCACTAATCGAAATAATGCCCCTATCAGGGTCGTCTTCCCACTGCCAGTCCTGCCAACAATACCAATTTTGTCTCCCCCTTCAAATGTGCAACTGATTCCTCGAAGAACCAGTGGTGTATTTGGTCTATATCTTATCTGTTTGAGGCATGAAAAATCTTAGTATCCCATCTTTCCAGAGTCTGTACTGTCAAATGTTATGCAAATGTTGAAAGTATTACCTGCAGATTGAATATCTCCACTTTACCTATTAATGGCCAGTTTTGTGGAGGGCGATTATCTTTGATGACTTCTGGAGCTTCACTGGGTATATCCGTGTATTGATTAAGCCTCTCCACGGAAATGATATTGTTGGCTAATATGCATTGATTCTGAATTGAGAAAACCATACCCATGTTTAGGGTAAGACCATAAGACAGTGCCATTCCAATGAAGCCTGTATTAGTGGGTTGTATTAGCATTACTTTCTATGGAATTTCATTTCTTCATCTCATAAAATTTTGCAGCTACATAACCTCACAAAATAGAGGATTACAGAGAAAGTTTAATCCCCTCTCACCTGAGCTTAAAGTACCAGGAGGAAGCAAAACCATGCAGAGTGATGCTACTGCAAGAACAGTGGCACTGAGGGCCTCAATCCTCTGAATCAGCCATTCATTGGCTGCAAAACTGTGGAAGAATGGGCTTGCATTTATATCAATAAGATTGAGATTCTTTGCAAAAAAAACGATCTTCCTCTTGAAAAGCTCTAATTGTCATGGCTCCAGCTAAAGATTCAGTTAAATGGTTTACAACCATAGACTTGGTAGTACCATTGAGTCTCATCAACTCTTTCGCAGTTGCAAAGTAATATCTCTACACACATGTTGCATAAAGTTTTAAGGTGTTAAACCAAATGGTAAGTTTAAAGTCTCAAAAAACACTCTTTAGAGATGACATTTTTTATAGTTTAGAGTTCATTATAGTTGTAGGTGGAAATGAATGCCTGCTATACCTTAAAGATTACGGTGAAAATGTTTAATAACTGTGGTTTACTCTGCATGTACAATTAGCCTCAAAACAAACGCTAGTTCAAAATCATATTATGCAACTGTCTAAAACTATTGCTTTTTCTAGAAACTCAGCAGAACCTTTATGAAGCTACTGAAAAGCGATCTACCTATGGTTCTATCTATCCAAGCATGACATATAAATGTATGACAATCACATCCGGATGATGACAAGGTCAGGGGAAGTTCATTGTAGGAGATCTTTCAAAAAGTTACCTGTAGTCGTATTGCCATGTATACCACCGGTATGCTGACAATTAACACTTGCCAAATGATGACAGCAATCACACATAAATTAGCATATGCAATTGTAGTGGCTCCAAAAGCTGTTTGGAAGTTGAAGGGGATATCAAGATCAATGATACTCAAATCAGAAGAGATCTGCAGAGTTCAAATTTACTGCATAATCAACCAAGTTGTGTAAATCAGAGCTGCAAAGCTTATGACAAATTTATACTTACCCGGCTGAGTATCCTTCCAAGAGGTGTAGAGTCATAGAATGACATTGGAGCCCGAAATAGAGACTTCAGTAACTGATTAAATAAAGCTTTTGAAGATTCCATCCCTAATGCAACCACTGCAAGAGACCTTATGAGCAAACAGATTGTTGAGCAAAATCCAATGATGAGGTAAACCACAATTAGTTTTGATTCGCTGACATGAGGATTATCAACGCCTGAGGCCATCCAAGTGTTCTGTAATATCTGGCCTGTGACAAAGGCGAGATGAGAAAGAGCAACAATGGAGAAGTACAAATAGCCTTTATTTTGATTCAGGTATATCAAGTACGGCTTAAAGCCACTATCTCCAACTTCTCTTTCTTCTTGTTTAATCAACTGATCCCCTTTTAATGCTGGGTTTTGATCCTCAACATTGACTCTCTTAATCTCTTTAGTAGAAATATTAAGTTTCCTTGGACTACTAACTCCAGCATGTTCAGTACCAGCTGTCTCTTTGTGAGCATTTACGAGGTCTAAAAAGTCTTTACTTGAAGCTAATAACTCATTATAAGATCCTGACCGGAGTACTTCCCCATCTGACATCAGCTGCAAACAAGAAGAATATCCTTTTATGATTTTTCAGGCAAAATGACTAGCAAAGAACTGCACAGGTAAATATAGCTGAACAAGGAATCAATCCCACATCATTGAAGATGTAAGATTGTAAACATCATTTATGTGTCATTCATTAAGATGAGTAAATTTCTTTAGAAAATTAAGCATGGTATTTTGGTAAATGAATAGGATGAGTGTATTATAGTAGTATAACAATGTATATTAAAGACTGACATTTTGTAACTAATAGTCTAGTATGTAGTTTTAGCTTCCATTAGAGAGGACTAGACTTTTCCTACAGATAAAGGAATGATTCAAAAACTCAAGGCTGCAAAGATAAGCGAGTATGACATCTTTTTCTTTTGTATGTTGATATGCAGATTACAGAGTCTGCTGATGACCTTTGCATTTTCATGGGAAGCAGCAGCATAAATAAGCTGAAGACTTATGAACATAGAGCACTAAAAAGGTAATTAATGTATCAGTGGTCTGCAAGTTTATAGATTCACCATTGAGTTTTTTTTTTTTGCTTCTTTGGGATTCATGTAGACATTATAATGGTAAAATCTACTGAATCCACATATAAGACAGCAGTAAACTATATTTTTTTTTAAAAAAAAAAAAAATCATGAGTAAAATTGAGACCTTGAACACAAGGTTCTGTTGATCTAGTCAATATGGCCTGTGTTAACAGGCAACATAGAAAAGGATTTGCAGTATTACATGAATCCCAAAAGTATATATATTGTGGGAACTGTGAAAAAATGTAGAATACATATGTCCAGATGTTAATTTTAAATTTTAAAGTAGGCAAGCATCAGCAAGTGATGTTAGACTCACCAAACAACTATGGAATGCAGGAAGAAAATCAACTTGGTGTGTCACAAGCAAGACAGTCTTTTCAGAAAGTGCTTCCATAACATATTCCTGCCACAGTAAAAAAAAAAAAATAAATAAAAAGTTCAGATGGTAATTTGGATTCAAAATTAAAATATACTTCTATGCTTATGGTCTAAAAATTACATTGAAAAGGCTAGTTGCTGTGTGTGCATCAACAGCACTAAATGGATCATCCAAAAGGTAGATATCAGCATCTTGGTATAATGCACGAGCAAGTTGAATCCGTTGCTTCTGTCCACCACTTAAATTAACACCTCTTTCTCCTATTTCTGTCATGTCACCATAGGGAAGAAGATCAAGATCCTTCACCAATGAACACCTATGAAGAGTTTCTTGATACCTCAGGGCATCCATGTCAGACCCAAAAAGAATATTATCACGTATTGTCCCTGTTTGGATCCAAGCTATCTGGGAAACATAAGCGATTCTTCCATAAACTTCCACCTGAAGTGAAAATCGGTTTAAGGAAAGATAACAAATTTTCATAAATCTCCAGATAAATATATGCGAAGTAGATATTTATAATGCTAGTGCGGTAACTTTGTCATCACTAGGCCTACTTGCTGCTAGGTAAATTATGCAAACATGCAATATTTTAAGAAGTATAAAGGTTTGAAGGAGCTTACTATTCCATCTATACATGGCACTTCTCCGAGAATTGCTGCTAGTAGTGTTGATTTTCCTGAACCAACTTCTCCACATATAGCTATCTTTTCACCTGGACTAACATCTAGATTTATATTTCTCAGTGTTGGTTTGGATGGATTCAGTTCCCATGAAAGATTTGCTGACTTAATCTGAATAGCGTGGCTGTTCATATTGTTATTTTTTCTGACATTTCCAGTCTGAAGCTCTGGTGCTGCAAGGAACTTAACAATCCTTGCAAATGCAACTCTTGCTTGAATCACTACGCCAATGACATCAGGAATTGCTCTGATAGGCTCTTGTACCAGGCGCAATGTTGCAAGAAATGTGAAAACATTACTGGCATGTAGAGGAACTTTGAGGAAATAACATGCCCCGAATGTAGCTGCAGAGACTAATACAGGAGATGTCCAAAAAAGAAAAAAGTTATACGCCTTTCTCAACTGCACTGCTGATAACCATTTAGATTCCACTTCCCTTAATGTCTCAACTACATTCTTGAAGTGACTCTCCCAGGCATACAACTTTAGCACCTTCATGTTCACAAGAGCCTCTGAGCAAGCCTTCAGCCTCTCATCTTGAGCAACCATCAACTTGCTTTGGAACCTATGCTGTAATTTGGCAAGTGGAGCATTGCAAATCACTGTTAAAACAATCACTACTAAGGATGCAATAGTTGCAAGTCCGATTGAATGGATTAGAATAAGTAATGCAAAGCAAAGCTGGAGGCTTGTAGTCCAAGTTTGATGAAACCAAAAAGGGAATTCCCCAATCCTATAAGCATCCACCGTGGCATAATTCATTATCTCACCACCAGAGTGTGTCCTTCGGGCAACATTTGATAGTTGTAGTTGCTTTTTATAAATCGCTGCAGTGAGCATGGATTTCACTTTAAGGCCAACCATCCTGCTTCGGAATACCATTGCCTCTGTGACAAAGATTCCAAGATCTTTGAGAGAAAGAGAGTGATTGCCAAAAGATAACTTTCATATTTAAAAGCCTCATTACCCTCAGCAACCTCAATAAAGGAATTCAGCAATAAAGGTCCAGATGACACAGCAACTACTTTCAGAAAAGCAAAGAACCCTGAAATCAGAATCTCCTTCCAGTAGCACACAACAATGGTCCATAAGATTGAGGATTCTGATAAGAATTCAGCACTTTTCTGCTTATTCAATTGTTCAAGAAATTGTAAGTAACAATATCCTGCTCTATCTATTTCCCGCAATTTAGGTATATTGTCTTCCTTGAGAGTTTTCTCCCTACCCAATATCATCAAAGGGTTTAACCAACAGAATGTCATCTCACTAAAAAACCCGGCTTTGGCAAACAGAGAAACTTCGGTAGCTGAATCACTTTCACTGATGCTGTCATTATCATCAGCATTCAGAGAACTGTAAAGGGTACTCCCATTGCCAGCCGCCAAAGATTCTTCACTTTTATACCCCTTGTAAGTACATAGCAACAGCAAACTAACTCCTAGAAAAGACAGAATATCTAAGGCCACCTTAACTGTTATTCTTTCATGGTTCACTATGACAGAAAACAGAGCAAAACAGCAGAAAATCCCAGCACAAACGAAAGCCAAGATGGACAAGATTCTCAACGTGGCTTTCGAAAAGATCTCTCCTTTAAGGCTTGCTGTTAGTCCAACCAACAACCATGTAATCCCATGAAAGAAGTACAAAACCAAACGATCAACTCTCGAGTTTTCCTCTAGAATCCAAATACCAAATCCAATGTAAACAAGTCCCAAACATCCATTAAAAACAGCTGATGATTTCTGCAAGACTGAAAACTGTCTACGACGAGCTCGTAGCTCGACTTTCTTGGCAGTTTTTGTGTAGATTAAGCTCCATAAGAGCATTACCAGAAGTAATACATCAAAACATACAATGGAAGCATGGTTCATACATGAAGAAGGCTGAATTACTAACACAAACTGAGGATTACAAGGCTCTGAACTGCTGCTTGCACAATCAAATTTCCCACAAAATTTAGTCCACAGATCCTCCATTATCATTTTTCAGCCACCTTTTTTCTGCATCAATAAAGAGGTATAAAATATAATCAATATAAATCTATAAAATGCAAAGCATAAAGAACATAAAGATATGATAACTTTAACTTTGTGATCTTTTACATCAATAATAAACATAAATCAGAATGCACTTTCTAGCTTGCGTAAAAGAAAAAAGAACAAACATTGATCTTGTAATCTATTAAATTAAATTTAATACGGAATATATATATAATAAAAAAAAATATACAAGTAACTAAAAATTGTTTTCTAACAATTATAAAAGTTAATGCAAACCTTGCCATTAGTATAATATATACTCCTACTTCATATGAAACAAAATCATCTGTTTCTATTTATTAGTTTGTCAACGCAGTGCATTTATTAGAGTAATGATGCATTGATCTCCCCCATTATCATCAGTCATACCATAAATATAATATTATAGTCTTATAGATATACTTTTTTTTTTGGTATATCTATAATATTATAATATCACCTACCAAAAAAATTAAAAAATAGAAACCCAAAATTATAAATTATATGCAAGTGTTATACCATAAGAAGACCAATTCCAGAAAACCAGAATATTATTTAACCAAGAGGTTGATCATGAAAAACGAACCTCATGAAATATTTTTGGAGTATTAAATTAATTTTTTTTTTTTTTTTGTTTTTTGGATGTTATGTGATTTCATAGATTATAGAAAAAGAGAAGTGATGTAATTATATTAATAGTGGGCAAAAGAACACATAAAAAAAGGGAATCAACGAGGGTTGGTTTGACTGTGAGCTTTGGCAGGAGACTCTTCCAACTGATGGGCACCGCAAATTAATTATTGTGAGTATCATGCTATGGGGATAATATATGAGGTGGACTAACAATAACGCAAGTAATTGTGATATGATTAATAATATCCGATTTACATATAGGATAGCTCAAGTGGTTAGAGCTTCTTTTCAGGTTCCAGGGGATTTGGGATCGATTCTTATCATCCACCCTTATGACTCTCTAAACACCAAAAAAAACTTCGTGAATGGAAATCGATTTACAGATATGCACTGGAGACAATATGTAAAGAGTTAATTAAGCTTTAATTCCAAACTCTCTCTAATTCATTAAGGGGAGTCCTACACGTAACAACCATGTATATTAATGGTCCTAGGTTTAAACTATAGTCTAATCTCTATCACATTACTATTTACGTGTTTTTTAATTATGCTTAACAAACATTAATGCATGATCACAATACATGACTCCACTTTCTCTTTTGAAATAAAATATGAACATGATATTGATTTGTTTTGACAGATGTATAGTAAATTAGTTATGAAAGTGATATTGATTGTTTTGGCATGTCTCCACGTTTACTTTATATGTTATAAATACAAGATATTATGTACTGTACTTCATTCAGATGGGTTGTTGCCCTTTGATTAATTACTACTCCGTATTATTAGAAATTGACAAATTGTTATGGATAAATCAATTAAATGCTGAGAGACAAAGTGAGGAAAGAAAGCTTCATTTTACATGTGTATCACGGACTGATTTGAACTGCAGGGATGTTAATGGACGGAGAACTACCAGAAATTATCAGCATTTATTAGCATTTGCTAGTACTTAGTACTATATAGAGTGATAACTTAGCTTATAAGTTTTATGGAATATTTTTACGTTTGATGGTACTAAACTACTAATGAACAAGTAATTTGGTGTTAGAATGTGTTAAAACATACCGAGTAACCAAATAACTGCATAACACATGTGACTATGTGAGTGTCTTACATTAATAAAAGAAAGGAGCGTTAAAACAATTTAGAGCTGGTAGGATGGAATGTAGGTAGCCAAACCTTTCTAAAGGGTTATTGCATGCAGCAACATTTTTTTTATTTTATTTTTATTTTTTTTTATTTTTATGAATAGGCATGCAGCAACTTAGTTATATGCCTCTTGACGAAGGGTGATATATTTACCTTTTGCATTATTTTTACAAGTATTATTATTCTTGATTGAGTTATTCAACAGGTTATGAATTACGTAACGGAAAGTTGTCAATAATGGTTTTGTACTCGTATCTCTAGAAAAGATAGATACAAGATGATATAGTAGATAACTCAAGTCTTCAAAGGTATAATTGTTATTGAATGGCTGTATGAGATTCAAATAAAAAAAATTGTACGGAGTACTCGTATCGTTTTTATCTTTTGTCTTTTACTACTCCCCGTATCACTGATTTTATCAATTAAATTTTGACATAGTGGTAAGAAAATGACCTTTTAACTTTGAGGTTGTGCTTCAATCCTCATCACTAAGTCAATTCAAGCACTTTCATGGGGATTCCTTTATTTGTTCTCTCGGCTTTTAAGTGTCTGAGTTAACCCACTATTTCAAATCGAATTGCAATTCTGATCCAATTTACTTCGATTGGGCCGGTCCATAAATGATTTAATTACAAAGCCCAAAGCAAGGTTCAACTCTCCAAATAATTGCCAATTCAGTTAAGGCCCAGTCAACGTGGCAATCTCATTTGATTTAAGTTCCATTTATCTATTGAGCAAAGGTATAAAAGCCTTCAATATTTTCTCTCTACATTCATTCAATTCAAGCCTCAAGCAATTAATATTCTTGCATAGCTTTCTCTCTCTAAACACTGTATTGATTTCGGCATCGGAGGGGCCTTCCTCAGCACAACCCCCGAGGCCAGTTTACGTGTGTTTGCTGTGCAGGAAACCCTCGGCCCAGTC